GTATGGTACGGATGCATAGATTAATTTGCCGCGCATTTGCGTTGGCAGACTATGAATCTGGATCATCGATCATATTAGTTCTCGCCTAAATCTTAATCCAGATTCATATAGTTTAGCAATATACGTCTAACAATAGTACTAATTGACACTAACTAACTAATTTGTTGCAGAATATTGAGATGGGTCACAGACGAAGAAGAACAACTAAAGCAAAAGAGTCTACCCAAAATCGAGCACCTTATTGTGGAAATGTCACGTATGTGAATTCTAATTTTTTCCACAACTCAACCTTACAACATTAAGCTCCATTTTTGGTTTATTATTAATTCATTGCTTTTCATCTTTCTCAGCTGTCACTGACATCGACACTAGTGGCATTCATGCCTTGGAAGAGTTATACAGAAGTCTTCAGAAGAGAGAGATTGAGGTAAATCTATTTCTTACAATTTACTGCAATTTAGAAGTGGCTTCGGTATGAAGTTAGACATGCTAGCTGAAAATTAACTAATTCGATAATATTGCTAAGTTAAGGTTCGTTTGTTGCGCTGGATTATATGAGTGCATAGAATTTACAATTCTAGTGAGGTCCTTGGTGGCCTAAAAACAACCTGGATTAGAGTATGTTTAATTCTGCTACACTCAACTGTACTAGGATTATCAATATCCCACCAAAGAGGTGGAAAGTTGAGTGGGATTATGTATATTCCTATTAGGATATACTTCAATTAATCCAGTCCCTTAATTATGTGTAGCGCGCCAAACACATCATTGAATTAGTATTATCCTCTTCAATCCATGTGATCAAATCCAAGTTCAGTCACCACACATGCCTAGCCTTGGGATACTAGCTAGGAAAGAAATAAATTTCACAAAAGAAATTATGAGTTGATGATGCAAATTTAATTTTGGTTATTTTACAGCTTGCTTTAGCAAATCCTGGGACAGTGGTGATGGACAAGATCCACGCATCGGAATTTGTTGAATTGATTGGAAAGGGCAAGATTTTTCTTTCAGTTGCAGATGCAATCCTTACATTTGCTCCCCATCACGAAGAACCTTGATTAATTCGATCCACAAGCCAGTGTTGAAGGTTCTCCGACAAATGACTACAAAGTTATATACTTGTGATTTTTCCTTTTGTGTTCTTCCCATCTCCTTTTCTGCCTAGCAGTTTTTTTGTTTCTGTCTAGGGTTGAAGGTCCATTCCTACCTCCCCCTATCTCTACTTCTGCTAACGAGTGCTAGAATTAGGATATCGAGATAGAGGGTAGACTAAAGGGTTCAACCTATAAGTAAGGCATGCCAAATTGTGAAAGAAATTGTATCTTAAGTAAAGGTTGTCAAGTGACTCCATAAAGCTCGAGCTCGTATAGGGCTTGGCTCGAATTTGGCTTGTCTGAGCATGGCTCAATTGTAATATAAACAAAACAAGCTAAGCTTGAGCTTTAGTATGTTCGGCTTGCAAAACTCACGAGTAGCTTTTTTATCTTATGTGTGCTCGTAGTACACCTTTTTGTTCCCATGGAATCTTCTCTTCTAAGTTCTAACGGAAATTGGCCATTGATACGGATTCAAAACGTTCATTTCTTTCCATTCGTTATTCTCTTTATTACTAAGTCATGAATCATGATTAAATTGTTAATCGTGAAATTAGTTTGACGGTGAACTCTAATTTGACTTTAAAGTACAATTAGCTAAAAATGATAAAGCCTAAATACCTATCAGGCCTAAGGACAACAACTCAAATGAGCCCAAAGGAAGACCCAACACCCCACCATTTTCGACCATAGGTTTTCTCCTTTCATAAGTGTGTGGTTGTGTATATAAGATAGACTTTAGCCATGATCACCATAGGGTTTGAGTCTCCATCTTGCAAGTTGTGTTGATATGAGAGAAATCTCCACTCCACCTTGCTAAAACTGGATGAAGGATATCTTAGTTTACAAGGTTCATTAAGCCACTAACAATTAAAAAAATTGCAAAGAAAGCAACGGAAGCAAGAGATCATATTAGACCTCAATTAAATCTTAAACATTTCCATGGATCTTTAGACTCATATTAGAATTTATAGTTCCAGTTGTGGTGCTTGCCAAGGAACCTCCGATGCCAACGTCACATAATATTTCTTGAAATATTATTATGAAAATTAGTTGCGGAGAGAGTGATTCAGAGTTTTGAACTGAGACTTGCAATATCCGTTTATGACTTGTGTTTTTCTACTTTTACAGAATCAATTAATTAAATGAAATTTTAATAGAGACAAAACATAGAAAAGGGATCAAAAGTTCCCGTTTACATAAAATAAAAAACAATCAGAGAAGCTCAATGAATTCTATAGAAGCAAGAATGATTTTGGCACTCCAAAAACAACCCTTAAATCCCCTTACACTTGTCGTGTTTGAGAGCTTCGACAAGGGTGAGAAGTAATTTTTGGAGCGCTAAAATCATATCTCGTGCAAAAGCAAAACTAGTCCATGTTAGAAATATTATGAGCCCTCCTCATTCTGCTTGCCCACGACCCTTCCTTCTGTGCCATACGGCAGTTGGACTTCCTCTTCAACTCAAGAACTTGTTGTCGCCATCTATTTTGTGCTGCACCAACACCATGGTTTCTTATATTATTCATCTTGAAACCAACCCTAGTAGCACCAACACAATTTTCCAAACCCAATTCGTAATCGTATTCTTTGCGCAACACCGGATCCAATAGCGTCTTGTAAGCCTGATTCAGTCGAACAAATTCCTTGGTGGAAGAAATGGAAGGATCATGGCAAACGTCTGGATGATATCGAAGAGCCATGCTCCTATAAGCTTTCTTTATCTCATCTTTGCTTGTATTAATATTGGGATTTAGACTAAGCAGCTTGTAGAAATTGGTGCTCTCATTTTCTCCATCCTTCACCTTATAAGTAGATGATGACTTGTAATTAGTGGCTGATCTGCATGTAATAGTGGGTTTGCGTTCATGGTGGTGGTGGTGTCCATGGCTGTGAGAAAGAAAAGGTTTAGGTAGAGCTACACTGTTTAGGCTTGAAGTCAGCGAAAAGTTCATGGCGTTGAATCCAAGTTATGATTCTAGCAATGGATTTTGGGAATGCATGGGAGAGAGTAAGGTGGGTTAAGCTTAATATATAGTGGGAGTAATATCATAGTTTAAACATTTTTACATGGGAAATGTTTTCGAACACTATTATTATTGTCAAATAGCACTATTTTATTTTATTTTATATACAAGTGATAGTCTAAATTAATCTAATTTATTATGTGGAAAGGGACTCGAATTTTGGCGAAGGCAGGGTATGCACTATCTTGATTAACTGACCTAACTCACGTTTGCTTCAAAATAGCACTTGTGAACAATATTGACAATATCGACATAATATTAATCTTTTATAAATGTCATGTCAAAACAATATAATACTCGCCAACAAATTTAATTCATTTAAAAAGAGCACGAGAAATAATATTATAGTGTATGCTACAATAATATTATCCCGTATTTTAGAACTTATAGAGATAAGAGCACGAGGAGTAAAATAAAAAATAAAAAAAAATACTCGGAAAAAGAAAGCGGTTGAATATGCAGAATCAGCGGTAACTCCCAAACAAAACGCGTTTTCTCCCCTAATAACCATCGAGCTATGCTCCTGTTTGGTCAGCGGTGAATCATAAACTGTCTTCTTGCCATTGGTTTTTTTTTCTTCCAACTTTTTTCTTTTGGTAAAAAAAAGTCAATAGCGCGTTTGACCAAAAGAAATTAGAGCTCGGCCGAAAGAAATATGCCGCTCCTTTATAGGCACGATGCTTGGATTCTCATATCCCAAACAAATAATAATGTTTGTTGTGAGGGGGACACGTTTGGAATGGTGCTTCTGGTTTTTTTTGTGGGTAGATTTCTAAGACGACTTGTTGATAATATCTATTCTTTTATGTACTAATTTCCATGGCTTTTCTTTTTCAAATACTCTTCGAACTAGGAATAGACTTGTTACATTTGTGAATGTCTCCGGCACGAGACCTCTTGATTTGAAAAAGACATTGCAAAATCATTTAAAGAATAATTAAAAAATTATGGAAATGGCTTTGTTTTGTTGCTAAATTCTACAGTGCAAGTATCATATATGGATGTTCACATTTATAATCCATATATGACACTCTCACTCTACAACGACTCTTGTTTTGTTTTTCGGTTTGAAAGGTAACCGAAAACTTTTTTAAGTCCGTACAGAAACTCCAGGCCCAATTTCCTCCAAAAACTCGTGGCCATCCTTTGACGTGCTTATTGGGTATGTAAATGTTCTGTTCTGCGGCTCAATTTCCTCCTTTGGTTCAAAAGAAACTCCAGGCCCAAATTGATTTATTCTATTTTTAAGGCAAATAATTGATTTATTACCTTATTTTTTTGGTGAAGATTATAACGGAAAACAAAATGAATTTTTCATATTTTTATTGAAGGAAGAAAGTCAATTTGATTTCATGGTCGATCTTCGAATTTCTGTGTTAATTCAATAGTTATTGGAACGCTCCAACTGATTGGTTTTGATTATGAGCACTTAAAAAGATAAAACACGTAACCATACTACCGTAGTATACTATAATCACTTCAAAAGAAGGGTGCCACAAAAATGTCTCTTTTTTCAGCTCTTCTACGCAGTGTTCGGAATGAAACAGACATACCATAGAATGCATTGCACAATGTGTTGCGTGGCTTACAAATTGAAACATGCTCATTGCTCACAGCACAAGAATTCTTTTAAGTTCAAACTTCAAATCAAAATGGAGCACAAAATATACGAAGAAATAGACTAATAAATTAGGAAAAAGATGTCTAACCAAACCATCAATACAGGTTTCAAGTGACCCCAAAACAGATGTCAAATCTAACTTCAGTCACACCTCAAAAACAACTAAACTGAGAACTCCCCAATGGTAAAATGAACATCACAACTCTCTTACTTATATCATCCCTCTCAGCTCTCAAAAATGGCACCACTCAGCTCTCAGAAACAAGGGAATGATGCAACTACAAGACCAACAAGCAGGGATCCAACTGAACTGGCAAGCATAAGAGAACCCGAGGCCCCTGGCGGAGAAGCAGGTGCTAGCTCGTTCCCTCCAGCAGACGACTCAGGTGTAGCAGCAACAGATGATGTTGGAGAAGATCCCGGCGAGAGACCTGCAACACCAGACAGAAAACCTTATCAGTTAGTCCCAAGTTAGACCGGTGGTGTAGGGAATAGTGTCGGAGTGATGTACAATGGTGTCTAGAATCAGATTCAACGAAATGAGGAAACCAGAGAATAAGAACAAAGACAGTCATGACAAACAAAACATATTTAGTTCGATTCATCTTGCAAGCCGAAAATCGAAAAACAGACATTTAAACATTGACAATGCCAGTTTGAGTGTGAGAAACAAATAAATGGAAATAACTCATTTGGCACATCACAAGTTTCTGTCTAACAAAATACAGAAAGTAACATTGAAATCCAAACTCAATATATTTTCTGTATTCAACTGGAAGTTCATAGTAACAATGAAGATCAAGTTTATACTAAACCCCCTCCGCAAAAGAATTGATCAATTTAAAGATTCTTTCCCTCATTTTCTTTTCTTACACACAAGTTTAAGACATGGTTTTCTTCCGCACAGAGCACAGCCGTGTATAGATCAGAGAAATCCCAGAAGAATAGATATATAATATAATTAAACCCAATACTTTAGTCTGGAATTAATTATACAAAAAATAAAAAAATAAAGAAAAAGCAGATCAATCTGAAAGCTATATTAAGATAAGAATAAGAACATACCAGGAGCAGCTGCAGGAGTGATAGATACTGAAAAACGACAAAACCAACCAAAAAAACAAACAAATAAAATTAAATATTAGCCATTAAATCTCATAAAACTGGTTTAAAACAGAAGAAAAAAAGATGGAAAAATGGGGAAAATCCAGAAGAAAAAACTGACATCCACAGTTGGTGGCAGAAGGAGCGGAGACTTTGCAGGCAGCGGGGAGGGAGGCGGCCTTGGTGATGTTCAAAACGACGCCGAGTTGAGCGCTGCTCTTGAAGGCCTCGCAGAGGCAGGCAGCGTCAGCTTTGAGGACGGTCTTGAGGCCGCTGCAGCAAGTCCCTGCGGGCTTTGTATCGGTGCTCCCATTGGACACAAAGGACAAGCAGTCCGCCATGTTCAAGATCAGGGTCGAGCAGTCCACCGCCGGCGCCGGAGCCGCGTGGTGTGATGACCCACACTCCCCAAACGTCGCCATGGCCACCGCCATCACCACAAGCACACTCCAAACCCTCATTGCTCCCATTTTCCTTTCACTTTCTTTCCTTTTCTTTTCTTTCCTTTTTCAAGACTCAAGAGGAGAGAGAGAGAGAGAGAGAGAGAGAGAGAGAGGAAAAAAAAATAGAATATGGGATTTGTAGTGGGATGGGATGGGATGGGATGTGGAGGAGGTATTATTGTGTTTTATATAAGGGGAGGGGAGGAGTGATTTAAGTGGCGAAGTGGGAAAGAATGATGGCATTTTCAAAATAAATGACTTTCTCTCTCATCAGGGGAAAGTATGCCAACTGGGTCAAGGCGTGTGAAAGAACCATGACTCGTAGATAAGGGGTTTATGTTGGAATTCTTATGGCATTATTTATGTGTGTGTGAGAAATCTCAATTTTTTTAGTTTAGATGATCGTTCGTATTCAAAAGTAAATTATCCAGCGGCAACTAAGAAGGGTTTGTAGTAGTTCAAGTGGTTAAACTTAATCAAAAACATATCATTTGTATGAAGAAAAAAAAACATACATGAGTTAGGCCAGTTAGCTAAGACAGTGATCTTACCTACCCTTATGCACTCAAATTTGAATCCTTACTCTTATAAATTAGATTAATTTAGACTATTTTAGACTATCACTTGAAAGACAGATGGCAGTTGGGCAGAATGGGTTAGTCGGTGCAATGAAGTGGGGTCGTGTACGTGTCTTGCATCGCGTGCTACATCTCTTTGTTTCATGCCACTCCACACAGTCTTTTTCTTTTCCCTGGATTTGTTGGGCTACAAAGGGAGTACAAATCCGAAGTAAATCTTCTGGAAGGAAAAAAAAAAGAAAGAAGAGAAATATAAATTTTCAAAAATTGATAATTATCAGGTCCAGAGTGAGTGCCCTACATCTGAACTTTTACCAACCGCATTTATAATTAAAAACGGGGATCTAATGATACATTTAAGTAAATTACCCCTAATGTATTCACCTTTAAAATAAAATAAAATAGTGTTTTGTTCTACAACAAGAGGAAAAAAAGTATGCGATTGATTGGATTATTGTAAACGAATCGTCATTTGATCCAATCATATTAGAACGATTTTTCATAAATAGAAAGAAGCACAAAAAAAATGGACACACAAATATAAAATATTTATTTAATTTCAAAACAGGAAATAATGCTGCACATTTGGGATGACAAAATTGTTACGTTCGGGATTTGCAGAAAAAAGGGGTCTTCACTCATTCCGCGTTTCTTTTCTCTTTTTCTATTTTTATTTTCACTTATGGTGTGAACACTCATTCCACGTGGACAAGGCCCGTGTGTGAAAGAAGTTGCAAATTGTATTTAGTTGGGTCAGCTGTAGCTGGGTGGGGTAAGTGAGCCCTTGGATTGTTCTGGAAGAGTCACTTACGCGGCTCACCACAAGGGAGTACGCAATTGCAAATGAAGTCGGCAAATATGGACTCTAACAACTCAAATGGTATGTTGCGGTAAGTTGCTTACGCATTTGTCTCATAAAATCGATCACTCTATTTTTTATTTTTTATTTTATAGAGTTTCGACCCTTTATTTCTCCCCTAAAGTTACTTCAGCTGTCAAGATCAACCAATGGCCTGTTTAGAAGTTGTTTTAACAAAGTTTAACAGAAAAATTAAAAGTGCTTTTTCAAAAAGCACTTTGATTTTTAACAAGAGTATCTACATTCTTTCAAGGAAGGGGCCCAACTTACAAAATTGAGCAAAAGAATGGTTAAAAAAACCACCTTTATGCGCTCGGTTCAATCTCACTCGGAATGAAAACGATACAATGAACAGATCATTTTTCTTCTATTTTTGAAATAGGGCATAGAAGATGTAATTACTCAATCTTTGGCCAATATGCCCAATATTCAAAAATATTGAAACCTAATCGTAGTACCAAACTTTATTCCGATCACTTGGATATTCTAAAATTTTAACACCTCATCACTTCAGATAAGCATTCTGTTCTTATTGTCCATCTGTATTTTGTCGTGTGCTTGACACTTCAGGCAATCTGCTCCGCCAAACTAAGAATCTTGACATGCTTCTTCTTCCTCAACTCATGCGGGACGGGTCCAAATACTCTAGTCCCAATCGGCTGCCTCCCTTGCTTGTCAACAAGCACCACAGCATTGTCATCAAACTTGACCTCACTTCCATCACAACGACCTCGTTGCATGGCAGCACGAACAACCACGCCATACACAACCTGTCCTTTCTTCACTTTCCCATTGGGATGTGCCTCCTTTACTGATGCAACAATTGTGTCTCCCAATCTTGCCCCTTTCTTGTTTGCCTTCAAAGCTTGTATGCACATCACCTTTTTCGCCCCTGAGTTGTCCACCACTTTGAGAATAGTCCTCATCTGTATGAAGGTCCTTTGCTGCTGTAAAAGTGGACAAAAACAAAAAATCAAGCTCATGTCAATACAAAGTAATAAACAGTTTACTATTTCAGGTATTTAGCCAAAAAGAAGATAAACACGAGAAAGAGTAAGAACAACTTGGAATTAATTAACGGTGCCACAGTTCATCCATTGCACTCAGAAATAGCACCAAGATTCTCCATTTGAGCCTGTCAAACAAGCTTTTTTTGTCGACTCTTCTAAACAATGCTATAAAGGGTGTCACTGCAAGGCTACAAGAAACTCTCAATTCTCTAGAACCAAAAATATTCAAGATTTTAAACATCCAGCAAAAACATTTTGTATGAAAACCAAATAGGGTTTTTTATTCTAATCATGAGATTAGACCTTCACTTCAATCCAAACCATCCTACTAAAAATTCAATGAATATATTTCCTAATCACAGTTGTAATCTTCCAAGAAATTTTAGCTGAACACACTTGGAATTTGGACTAAGCCTAGCACTCAAATGGAAAGGCACAAGGCAATACTCTCTGAGTTCTACTTCTATTCAATATGAGGAATCTTTTACTCTCTCCAAACTTCTCATTTTACACATTTTGCACTTAAGAATAGACTCCTGTTCTCTAACACTACACACTACCGCATGTCTCTCTCACCAACCACTTCAATAGAGTGGTAGGATAACTTTTTCCTTGCTCTAGTGTGTCACACACGGTACTTACAAATCAAAGGAGAGGCTACAGCTTTACTTTAGCCAACAACCATCATGGCTGCTAATAATCCAAAAATATATTCAAAACATAAAACACTACCATTAAGTATTAACTTCAACACACACTGACCTGAGACAAGAAAGTGCTGCATGTCATCTCATGTGACGTGCTCAATAAGCCAGACGAGTTGTTGCCAAGCCCCCCCAACAATGAGCGACCCACTAGGTTTGTTTCCAGAAGATTGAAAAGATTGCAGTAAGTAAATGGGTAAGAGAATAATTGCATAACAGATACTTAAAGAGCTTATATTTATAAATTTACTTTATATTTAATCCAGGAAACTGGCACAATTAAAATATGAAACTCAAGAGAACCACAAAAATGATGAAAGAACAAATTTGTGGCATCTTTTCAGATCCACTCAACTATTTTACATTAGTTATCCAGCAAGGAGCAAGCAGTCAATACCAGACAAACTACTGATCCAGGAAAAGTGAAAGTTTCTACAGCTTTTCCTAACACTAATTCAATGAAATTAGAATCCAATAATAGAGCAAGTGACACAAATAGTACAAATAGATTACTCGAAACCCCCTATGCAAAATCACATACCGCGTGAACACTTTGAAGCTAAACCTGCAGCCATTCCTTATCAGTAGCTTTTACTTTCAACCAAATCGACAAGCTTCTTTTATGCTCCGCCCAGCTGTGCAGAAAAGGTTGTCAGAGAAAATTCATTAAAAATTGAAGTCTCCTCGGAGATTTAGGTATTTAATTTAACTTACTACACCTATCAATTTCTTAAAATAAGGAAACAAGAAAGATGAAAAAAAAATACACACACATGCACTCGATTTTCTGATGCAGAAAAACATCTAAAGCTATGTTGCACCGGTACCGGTGAGGGTATGCCAATACAGCAAATCTCCAAAAACTAGGATGCGGGTATGCGCCATACGGCTATTAAAATAATATAAATTCTCAACTCCACTTCTTCTACTACTCTCTCCATTTCCCTTAAAAGAGCATTTGTAACTTTAGAGCAACAAGCAATTCCATACACTTCAATTTTCAACAAATGAGTCTTAACTCTAGAGTATGATCCTTTGAAAGTCCTTTGACAATAATTGCAATGAAATGCAGTATTGCCACCGGCTTTTCCATCTCTCACACTTTTGGTGACATATTTCCACAATGGAAAATTAGCATTATTGTTATTAGTAGTATTCCCACCACCAGAACTATTGCCCTCATCCCCCAAATTACTACTCATTTTCCTGTCCCAAAAAATCATTTTGAAAACAACTATGAATTAATACATCTCAAGAATCATACAATTAATTAACACAGCAACAAGACATAAATGTTGGGTATACAATCAATTAATAACTGAACCAAAAGGTGACAGGCGAAGATAGAAAAGAAGAAAAGGAAAGAAGATGCAATTCTACAGCAGCAAGATGCAAACCAAAGAAGAATCAACAAATCAAAAGAAAAGAAGAAGAGAAGATGCAATTCTACAGCAGCAAGATACAAACCAAAGAAAATCCGTTGCTGCCACTGGTTGGGTCGAGTCGCCTCCGTCTTCCTTCTTCCTCCTTCAGTTCTTCTTTTTCTTTCCCTTTCGTTGGAATGGATCTGAGCAGAGCAGAGAGTGACGCAGCCGCTCAAACAAACTAAAACCCAGCTATGTCGACTTGTGTTTTACAATATCAGGTTTCACAATTTACCTTTTCACCCTACATATTCTTTTTCTTTTCAAGAACGACCAAGTTTTCAAATATTTGTAAAATAATCCCCTTGACCGTATCGAGACCGTATCTTGCGCATGTCCTTCGTGTATCGGAGACGTATCAGGAAGTCAACTTAGCTGAAAAGTCCACGATACTTCATTTCCCGTATCCAATACACATCGAGGGCGTATTGGGCAAGTATCGAATGCTTGCCCGGTACTTGCATACTTCTGTCTAGTGGAGTATTGGTGCAACATAGCATCTAAGGCTCTATTTGGGATCATGGATTTAGATTTGGATTTGCATTTCAAATCCATGCATTTGAAATCCACTTGTTTGGCAAAACAAATTTAAGCTATGGATTTCAATTGCGGATTTCAACCTAAGGTTTTAAACAAGCACTTTAAATATACAAGTGATGCTAAGAATGAGCTTATGATCCTTGAATTACGAGGCACGACCATAAACTAGGCCCACGACCTATAAACAGGGCTCGCATCCTATAAATCAAGCTCACAACATTATTCTCACATAAACCATATAACATTCCTAAACTATTAAACCATTGAACCAAAATTCACACTCCAAAACATTCAATAATTACCAACATGAAAAAAGAGTTGTCTTCACAAAATATTTTTTATTTATTTATAAAGGAAACATTGTATTGATAAAGAAAAGGATAAACAATCCTCCTTATCAAGTACAAACAATAAACAAAGACTCCTCAAAGTCATTGAGAAAGAAAACAGAACTTAAGGAGAAAGAAAACTTTGCAATAGATTTAGTGAAAAAGGACTAAGAGGAGTTCATAATCATCTTAAAACAGCACTAAAATCTTGCAAAATGGTGGAATAGTGATAATCCTTAAACTCATTTGGGGTTATGTACTTTTCTAGGCAGGAGGATTTTGTGTACTTTGTCTAATTGGTTTTGAGTTTGAAGGGCTCAAATTGTGTAATTGGTTGTCTATTTTGGGTTATGTACTTTTCTAGATAGGTGAATTTCGTGTACTTTATCTAACTGGTTTTGAGTTTAAAGGGCTCAAACTATGTAATTGGAATGTTTATATGGATGTTCATTTTGTAAAGGGTAAACTGCTGAATACCCCACTAAACTATCAAACTTGTTGAAATCTATACTCCGAATTATTTTTTAGCAAATTTAGCTCTCGTACTAAATTTTGTCGCCAATTTTCCCCCTAGCGTTAGTTTTTGACAATTTCCATCCAAATATTGTTAAAAAAGTCACATGTTCGGCACATGATTCACTGTTGAATTAAAAATTGATTTTTTTAACCTCTCTCTACTAGTCTCGAACCCAGATGAATTTTTGGCTTTGAATACAATTCCAACAAGCTACTGGAGACCAGCAAAAAATTCCGGACATAGTGTAATCCAAAGGACTTTTAAAGTTAATTTCGATATATAAATTACACAAAAATTCATTTTCATATATTGATGCCACCATCTTAATCAAACCCAAAATGAAAATATAAATAGATCCATCAAATTTAGAGTATACATATTCATACACTCTCATCCGGCTATGATTAATATATAAACAAAAATATGTATATTCATTAATTAAATATATGTCAGTCGATTCGGTATATAGTCGACTTTGGGTTTATGAAACCACTTCGACAACCGCTAGGTGTCGGTTAGTCCAAAAAGGGGCATTATCGATTGGTTTTGTTCTCCCATCAAAGTAAGGTTGATTTTTGTCAGTCGGTTGAGTCGGTTTTCAGGATAAAATGCCACCCCTAAAACTAATCATTGATTGTGTTCATCAAAGGGCACAAATTCCCTGGTCAATTCGGTTATTGATGCATGAAATTCTTAATCTTTGCAATTCTTGTGATGAAGTTAAGTTTAAGCATATATTCTATGAAGCCAATTTTACAACAGATACTCTGGCTAACTTTAGTCATTCTTTATCTCAAGCGAGACTTTGGGGCTATGAATTGCCTCTTTTTGTTATATATATGTATATATATATTTTCTATTTTCACCTTCGTGTTCACACTTCGTTGTTTTTTTTTTGTTTTTTTTTTTTTTTTTTTTTTTTTTTTTTTTTATTTAAAAATGAATTTGTTTCAATTATTATTATTTTATTTTATTTTATTTTTTATAAATAGTAGATGAGAGAAGGGAATTATATTTTATTATAAAATATAGATAGGATCGAATATACCTATTGATTTTGAAGTAGGCATCATTGCCTTATTGGAGGGAATATGTAAATGTTACATTATTTTTTATTTTTTATTTTTGTAAATTTTACATACTTGAATGATTGTTTGCCTACTCGTTGTGCGCAGAGAGAGAGAGAGAGAGAGAGGAGAGAGAGAGAGAGAGAGAGAGAGAGAGAGAGTTATTTTGTTTTTGATGTCATTGGACTAGATTCAAGGAAATTATGGCAGTTGATAGAAAATTTATTTTTGAGAGTAATTCTCTCTAGATTGTTACAACTTTTAGCTAACTCATGTTACTGGGGAGAAGTTTTACCCACATGTCTGCCATATTGTTATTAGGATGACTCCCTTTATAGTTTGTGTCCTTTGTACTATTTATTCCTATTGATATAATAAATTCACATTTTTATCCACACAAAAAAGGTTGCCTACTCATTTGCATACACTAATGGAGATGCTCTTACTTGCTAGATTCATCAATTGATGTGGCGTAACCACATCAGCTGTCATATAAGGTGGTTAGCTAATATAATCAAGTGTATCCCAATAGCATTCCTCGTGGTTTGTTCACCAAAAACATACCCCTTCTTGATTTGTTCGGTAATCATACCCAATAATAACATGCGAAGTGTTTTGTTTTTAATATAGAACAAATTTCATGAGTTACTAATGCAGGAGCATAGGGGTGTATCAAGATAGATATTTATCATTTAATTAGTTATTTCATGATATATTGTTATTTTCTTATGGGCTTGTCCAATATAGATCCCTACATTTTCTATTTCCTAGACATATACCCATCACTCTATAAATCTATGTGTAAAACCCAATTTCAAATTTAAATGACTAGTAGGATATAAGAGGTCGTAGTATTTCTATGTTTTTACATCATTGCCACCAAACTTCATATTTTATTTATAATTTATTTCAAGCATTTCATTAACTGCCATAATTGTAATTAATATACTCCCTATTAATAGCATATCAATCACCCCATTTCTTTTAGTTGTCATTCCCTCTCACATCTCGCCCCCTTAAAATTACAAAAAAAAACAAAAACAAAAATTTGTAAATATACATATCCAATAATGTAAATATAAATAAAATATAATATAAATATACATATAAAATATATTTATAAAAAAAAAAAAACAAAGTTACTTTGTAATTGCGTATATTTTTCATAATTAAAATAGGTACACAATAATTTATATAAAATATAGGTACATTATTTACCCATAGGTAAATTATTTTACAATATACCTGTAAATGTGTATAGGTACATTATTTGGAATAGATAATTATGTACACTTTTCATACTAGGTAAATTATGTTTTTCATAAAACAAACAAGTAATAGGTACATTATTTTTTCAACATAATTAGTATGTACAGTTTTATTCATAAACAATTATAAAGTGGATTATTAGTCATGTATAATTCATAAAAAGAAAATAACATAAACATTTTATTAAACAAACCGATTACCTAAATTTGAATTTATTGTTAAATTTTTTTAAAATGTTTCAAAATTAATTCCTACATCCATTACAACCATTTGGAGATCTTTCCAAATTCAACATCTGTCATTATATACAATTCAATTAAAAACTGTTTCCATATTGATTCCTACATTAATATACAAAATGCAATAATGGCTTAGTTGGGGGTATTTTTGGAATCTGAAAAGTACAATAAATAAGATTTTATGCTAATTAGGTAACTTGCTGAGTTGGATCCTAGTCATGGGTTTTTACTTATACAAATTGGGTATTATTTATATAAACAAAAAGTGAAGGGTTTTAGGTACGGCAAATTGAATTTGAAGGGTGTAAGCCAAATTTACTATTTTCTTATTTAGGTAGTTTTATGATATCTTTTATTATTTATGTGTGATTTTATAATTAATTAGTTTACTTTTGGACCAAGCAGTTTGGTGCCCAAGTCTTGTAAAGCCTATAAATAAGGCTATTGTAATAGTTGTAGGAGATGGGATGTTGATGATTAATGAAATAGTTTTATTTGTGGCATGGATTTGCTACGATATATGTGAGTTTGCATTAGCCCTAGATTTCGATGCTCGTGTATGTGGTTGGTGACCTGTGTTCTGACCTCGATCCCCATCAGTTACTGTCCTAGTCAACTAACTTAATTCACGACAGTACCAATAGATACTTTAGAATATCAAATTCTGAATTTAAAATTATGGCATGTGAATTGTGAAATCAAAATCACCATCCGTGGTCCGGCTCATAACTTCATGAGTGGGCGTGTTGTAGCCTAGTTGAAATTGTACAAAAGTTTGAGTTTGAATCGCGGCCAGGCAAGGCAATTGCATCATTTATTATTACCTTCAATTCAAGTTAGAAGAGAATTGATTAATGAGAGAGATGAGCTGCGCATGTGGAGGTGGGGACTTCGGAGTTTGAAAAGTCTTTGCATGCATGCATGCATTTGGAGGGCCACCACACCACCACCCACATCCCGACATCATTTCCTAGCAGCATGGCATGCATTACGCATATGATAGGGCTCTTGCTCTTGAATGAAAAAGCCTTTGCCATAATAAAAGAAGAAAGAAACCAACCTGCCGTGAATCTTGCAATTAAATCATTAGGGGTTACCTTTTTCATCTTCTTTGCCTGGTAGGCTAGGCAGGCAGGCATGGAGCTGCGGTATCATTGTGAGATTGATCATGAGATTTATTGGACCCAGTTTCAATATTAAGTCAAACAACAGCCAAGAAAGAGGTGCTTTTGCTTTGATTTGTACGTCCAATCCAAGGTCCAAATCCAAAGAAAGCTTTAGACTTGAGAGAAGAAATTCAAATTTTTTTTACAGACAACCTAAAAGTTTGAGACTCTAGATTTTTGTTAGAGCTTCGAGTTGAGATCTGATGTCCCCAAATTCCGTGTTCCTTATTTAAAATTTTGATACGTGTCTCTATCTTTAATAGTACACAAACATCGTTAACTCGAATAGAAGATATGTATAATACCAAAAAGAAAATAAAAGGGGAAATGTTATCTGGCCCCTCTCTTGCTAGCTACAAGTACAACTATAACACGATTAAGTATGGCATTGACAGTTCAAAACTAACAGTTAATGATAAGAGTATGCATGGTACGGGGTAGATAGAATGACTGCATTGCATGAATAATCACATCCTATAATAAGTTTCAATAATTTTTATAATATGGTCAATCATGGCATTGCAACCATATTTGTTTTTACAATATGGAAGTAAAACCATGTAATATGAGACGGGCTTTCGAACAAGGAAATAAGGCCTTGAAGCCGAAATTTAGACCACATGTGGAAAAGTTTAAAGTTAATCTAACTCGGACATTCAATTTATATTTACCTATGCATCTAAGGTCCTAGATTCAATTTCCTCTCTCTTATAGTATTGCTTGTGTAAAAGAAAATTTAAAAATAATGTCAATGGGGAATAGAATGAAATTTATCCTTTGTTATCTTATTATTTTTCAATTCATAGGCCATGTTTACTTTTCAAAGCGCTTTCAGATTCCTCGTGTAAGTTTATGGTCTTCTTTCAATGCACTCTTCGAACGACCTTGGCTGAAACTACTTGACCAAAGGAGGTGAGATTTCTTTCTTTTTAACTGCTTTACTTTCATCATCCACTGACTTTGCAGTTGCGCATAGCAAAGTCTGAGTGTTTGGGCTGAAAATTAAGGTAAAATGGATGAGGTTCTCCACCCAATTCATTCCCTTTCTTTCCATGCATTAGTATCAAACTAGACATAAATAATACTATCCGCTCTTCCCGCCAAACCAAATCTCAGCCCGTTCCGGTCGAAACTCCTCTCATAAGCTTAATTGTTCTTGTTCTTGATAATGACGATGTTATAAACTATTCTAATGTCCAAGATGGAGGTTCGAACTAGGGTTCAAGCGGGCGGGCCTACTGTCTCGACAATATCCAACCACTTACTAAGGCCAAACAGCACTCTTGAGCCAATTATCCTTAAAAATGACCCGCCACATTTACTTTTAGTTAGTCCAGGTTGCAAAAGATTTACCAGTTCATGATGCCTAAACAAAGACAGACTGATCTGAGGCCCCCCTTCATGAGCACACAAGCATAAAGCATATCATCTACAATTAAGAAACCGAAAACTTGCAATTCAGTAGTGTATAGGACTTATGTGGGCATTCCTCAATACGTAAAAGGTTGAGATTTGTGTAATTTCAATAATCAAATGCATGAAAATATATTCCAACTCCACTTTATATGCAAACAAGCCACAATCATATTCTGCATTAGATTTTCATTTCAAATAAAAATTCAAAAGCTTCCATTTTAGCTACCTACTGGCATAATCTAAGACCAGAACTTTCACCTGACAATTGCTTTAGCCTGGCATTCCGATAGAAGAGAACACATCATCATAGATTCATAGCTACAGTTATGTAAACATCATAGCTTATTTAATAATGGCCTATTTGGGCAAGTTCCTTGGTGCCTTCAACACAATACAGCTGCCAAATAAAATTTGAATATACGGCCTAACTAGACAGGTTCTAAAAGGAGCATCTACAAGAGGAAGACTTTGCTAACATTATTAGCAATTGACAGGGTAGGTCTTCACACTCAACCAAATTACAAGTAACTGGAATTTCTTTTTATCTTTCCCTTCTCGTACTCCTCCTCAATTGGACCAAATGATACAAAAAAATATATACATTGTATACTTACCGTAAGGTACTGGATTTTTTTTGTACATATGACAGGATAACGGTCACATCATCAAGCTTGCCTCCACTATATCCCACATACCCAGATGCCTCGGCTGCATCTGCAAATGGGCTCCTTCTAGATGTAGATTGCCCCACTTCTTGTGCACTAGTTGCCAAGAACTTTGTTATATCCTGAAAGAGATGCATAACGTAAACAACCAACATAAAATGCACACAAAAACTGCTACAATAAGGATACCTATTCTGCTAGCATGCATGGTTTTTATAGCTCAAGCTGGGGTTGTTATTGTCAATTCTATAATTTTTGTGATTACATAGATTACACCTGTTTTCATCTTAAAGAGTACTCTGTTTGACTTGCCCGGATTGTTTGGTAGATAAGGAGTGCATTGCAACAGTATCTTTCTGATAAAATCAGAAGTATTAAGTATGAAAACCATTAAAACAAAAGAACTGGCACCACCACTATCAAGCCATATGGTTTCCCCAAATGCCCCTTCTACAATGTCTATGGCCCCTTAATGCATGGTAGTTCTTTTCTTTCATTTACATTTTCAAAGAAGCTTATAAAATAATAGATAAGAAGCAGCTGAGACTATTTGCACCTCAAGTTTCAATGTGGTTTGCATAGACTTTGATACAATTGAGATGATCTCTTGCTCATACAAGTTGTCAAAGAGGCCATCTGTTGCAGTGACAATCACATCTCCATCATCCAAATCTATTCGGTATCTCTGAGAACAGATTATTTTGTTAGCATGATCTCTCTCAAGATGTAAGACACGCAAGTTGCAAGAAGAGTTGGTAAACTATAAATTGTTCTCACCATCTTTTCAGGACAAAGGAAGTAAAAAGTTCAAAATTAGTTCTTGCGACTCAGCAGGAGCTAACATTTTGGAAAGTTGGTTGGGCATGTAATGATTTTAATACAACGTACCTCTATAAGTTTGGAGGGATCATCACCTCTTGCAATCTGTAATGGAAAATTGAACTCGTGAACCATTGGTGATGATCTTTTGAAGACAGCACCATTTCTAATTACAATAAATCCCGAGTTGCCAATGTTGGCCACATGGAGAGCCTGCAAAATAAAAATGTTAAAGCATAATATGCAGCCTCTAAAATAAAATGTTTCAAGCATTACAGCTTAAGGGAAGTATTCAAGAACCAAACCATGGTTGAGAAAAAAAACCACCCTAAAAATGCAACGAAAAGAAAACAATTTCTTATCAGGAGAAGTACAGGCATGCCCACAAACTGAAATCTTTCATATACATTTGGAAATATTTTAGGAACGATAGAATAACTTGGCGTAAAATAAAATAAAAACTATATACCTAAAGGAAAAGTGCATGACATTTTTAATACATAACACAAAATAAAATCTATCTGTAACCTTTGTAGCCCTGGGCATGTATAAAAGTAAAACAGCACTTGCTTAAAGTATCGGAAAACTATTTCCAATTGCTGAAACTTAGCACATCCATTTAGGATTTGCGTGGTTCTCCACTTTAGTTCCTCTTTTGGGTACTTTCTTTATAGTAGACCCAGAAATAATAATTTTCAGGAAAGGTCCATACCTGACCATCAAAATAAGCGACCAAAACAGTAGATAGTCCAGGTGCTTTTGTTTTTGCAGCAGCTCTAATAAGGGACTTCTTCTGGCTCAGTCAATGGTATACCTTTGCAATCAGATACGAACCTTTCACAAGTCTCCATGAGTTCACGAGCATAATGTCCAGGATTAACCCCTGATTCGATCAAGAGCAAAATAGACTTAATCATTCAAATTTTAGTACATTGCTAATCTGCAAGAAAATAGACCTCTTCTTTATGAGCAAATACAAGGGAACAAAATTATAAATAAATAAAAAAAGAAGAACAGACTTTGACTTATTATGAAACAACAAATTCATGGCCAAGGTACCTTCTAGTGACCACTGACCAACTCCATCAGCCACACCTAGCCAGTTTTGGCAAGCAACAAAGTAAGCATCCTCCCCACCTGTCAATGCCTGGCATTTATTAATTCTTGAATTACTTACACTTGTACTAAATTCAAGCCAAGGGTCAAGTAAGTATTGCATGTGTGCACGTGTATGTTTGTGTGTAGACAAAATTTACTTCAAGCCAACCAACCATCAAACTTCATTGTGTCTGTGCACATGTGTCTTTGGAAGTGTGTGTCTACCTACATACAATTAAATGCATTTGTAGATGCAAATTAATTATAATGTCCACTCCAAATCTCACATAAGACATGAATATACATATTTTACATGCACAGCAAGTTAGTGTTATCTGTCCTCACGATGTCGATGATTAATTAGATTATGCCATTGGACGAAAACTTAATTTGAAGAAGTTAATAATAAGACTAAAATTAACTCTATGTGGAAAGTTAAAGTGGTTGACCAAGAGTTACCACTCACCTTAGTCAAAATGGGTCAAAGGGTAAAAGTCCTGCATTCTCAACTTGTGCCATGTATTAGAGTTTCTTGATGCTGAAAGAAACTATCATATGTATATATGTATGGATATCAAAAGGGGGAAGTGGCACACGTATGAGAGAATGAGTGGTCATTTGACAAAGTTGACAACGTAGATTCTTTTCTTTAAGGATGCATGTGGTCCATAGGTGGGGTTGATTGTGGCTTTAATAACTGTGAGACATTGTTTTTCTTTTGACCACTCTGTGAGACACTGAAATTTTGTAAAAACAGAACATATTGAATACAACACCAACTCATTTGTCAGCATTACGTACCATTCTATGCATGAATACACAATGGTCCATAACCATAAAATGATATTTGGGAGTTCAACAGGATAAATGTTTGTATTTCCACTATGAATTTTAGCTTAATAGTTGCTATGTTTTTCCTTCATATCGGGCAACAAAAGAAATTTAATAGGACAAGGAATTATATAAACTACAGTGGGAATTCATGAAACCAAAGTTAGACCAAACTGAAAGTTTAGTTTTTGTTAAAGGAGAACATATTGAATACAACTCTAAGTTGTCATCATTACGTACCATTCTAAATTTCCCAAAAGTTATAATAAGTATGTCCAATAAAGACATTACATTTAAAAGTCAAGAAGATACCTTTGAGGGATGCGGTAATAAGGCAGCACTAGAAAATAGTTGAAGAACCGCTGCAGATATGTCCTCCCTGTTGCAAATGGATCAAGGATCCTTTAGGAAAATCCGTTAAGAAAATCCTTCCTTTTTTTTTTTTTTTTTTTTTTTGTTCTTTGAAGAAAAAATAGAGATATAAGATGTAAACATGGAGGACCGCGCCAGGTAGGTGTTGCTTACGATTATGGTGGACTTTAGCTAAAAGAAATTCTGGGAACAAGAAAAGATGTAGCACTTACATTACATGTAAGATTTAGTAACAAGAAAGTTTTAAGGCCTTATTGTAAGATTTGGGTCAACGTGAATGGTCTGAGATTCCAAATAGGATAATTCTTTTCTAACCAAGCAATAGCTATTGCATCACTTCTCCCCCTCTGAAAACAACTCAACCCATCCGAGTTCGGAATTCGACCAGAAATACAATCATTATCTTCCAGGTGTTTCAGAAAGAAAGTGTCAGCTCTCCTCTTGCACTTTATTGGAGAAAACCCTCAGCATTAGACACACAATAAAGTCTATGAAAACAAATCATTAAAAGACTTATCATTGCAGGTTCTTCCCAAAATTTAATACCATTACCAAGAACTGACTTGGTATGATAGATCAACTCATGATATCCTTGGGAAATATCCCTTAGGCACACTAAGAAGTGCAGGTACACAAATAGCATACAGACACAGCAGCACCATGTTTTTTTGTTTGTTTAATATCTGCTAGTGATTTCTATCGTCCCTTCACTTTCCAATAAAACAGAATAAATGTTTTGAAGAAACAGAACATCAAAAACAGAATAAATATATGAAGACTATTTTTATTAGAGATGTAATGAGGAGAAAAACTACCATACCCATCAGAAGTTCCTTGAACTGCATGTACTTCCACTTTCCTAGGAGTTGATACTCCTGAAACATCTCCTCTTTGTGATTTACCCTCTGTGAATTCATCTTCTACATTTCTGGAAGGAGGATTCTCAGCTAACTATGTACAAAACAAACAAAAGCTTTTGAGGTCCTTAATATGACAGAACTGTGTCACACGTCAAAATGAAAAAACCAACTATACGCCTACTGAGTAAGCTGCCAACTTGAACTCATGATCAGGCCATAAATTAAGAAAACATGTAAAACTTGTGTGCATGCAGAGCTATTGCGTGTGTACATGACTACGCAAACTCAAGGCTTATGTGTGTGTGTGTGTGTACATATATAAAAACATTACATTTAAAAACTGAGAAGATACCTTTGGGAGATGAGGTAATACAGCAGCACTAGAAGATAGTTGAAGAACTGCAGATCTGTCCTCCCTGTGTACATGGAAAGAACTATTGTAAGGAATGGACAACCAGATAAACCTATCTCAGTAATTTCTATGCAGAGATTTTAGGACCCATTTCATAACGCTTTCTTTTTATAAAAAAAAAAAAAAAAAAAAAAAAGACAGAGAATAGAGATGTGAGATGTGATGACGGAGGATAGCAGAAGGTGGGTGTTGCTTATGATTAAAGAAATTCTGGTAACAAGAAAAGATTTAGGAAAAAGAAAGTTTTAAGGCTTAGGACAGCAAGTGCCAGCTGTACTGTACTGTTTGGTGAAACCTATCAAAATTAGACAAACAGTAAAGTCTAGGAAAACAAAGCATTAAACAAGGCTCTTCCTAAAAGTAATCCTTTCACCATTACCAAGAACCGACTTGGTACGATAGATAAACTCATGATATCCTTGGGAAATATCCTTTGGGGACACTTAAGAAGTGCGGGTACACCTACAGTATACAGACAGCAGCTCCATATTTAACTCCTCTAGTGATTTCTATCTGCCTTTCATTTTCCAATAAAACAGAATCAACTTCTTAAAGGAATCAGAACTTCAAAAACAGAATAACAATATGAAGATTTACACATATTAGAAGTGAAAACGAGAGAAAACTAGCATACCCATCAGGAGTGCCTTCAAATGTGTGCAATTCCACTACCCTAGTAGTTGATACTCCTGAAACATCTCTTCTATGTGCTTTTCCCTCTGTGAATTTGTCTTCTGAATTTGTGGAAGGGGCATTCTCAGCTAACTATGTCCAACACAAAACAAAAGCATTTGAGTTCCTTAATATGAGAAATCTATGTCACATGTCAAACGGAAAGTAGCAACTATATGCCTCTTCAGCTAAAGGTAAGGCTATAAATTAAGAAAATTTGTAAAACGTGCGTGCACCGCAGTTCTCATGTGTGCATGAATGCGCAAACTCAAGGCTTTTGGTATCTTAATCAAGAAATCTTTTTGGGTCTTAGAAAACATAATACAGGTCCCCCCCACTGCTAAGTTATCATATGTCAACCACTAATTCTAAGAGTAAATACAAGACCACAATTTTTCTTATAAGAAATAAAACTTACAAAAGATGACCACCATTTTCTTCTTCTTCTTATTATTGTTGGCCATTTTTCTTCTTCTTCTTATAATTGTTGTTAATGTGAACGTTTAACAAAAACCAATCCCATAAGAACTCCCCCATAGGATGCAGTAAAATAGCCTGTTTATGTGCACAAATTCTTCTTCTTCTTCTTCTTCCTCATAAAAACTGCAGTCAAATGGTCAAAGCTGCCCTTCCTTCCTTCCCTTCCCAAACTTGACATCCATTGCCAATCTTGAAATAACATTCTTGTTACAAATCTCTGAAAGGGCTTAACTGCTAATGCATCGACCCTCAAATTTACATCCTACAACGGGGAGGAATAGCATTCCAGTTCATCAGGCTATAGCTAAATCTATCATCCAACTGAACAGGAACTTCCACCTTAAACTCTTTAATTGATCCATTGGTTGGTACCAATGAGAATATTAATAAGCAAAATATAAGAATCTAAGCTCAGGTACAATATTCTACCATTTGTGACATTCCATCTCTTACACCATATTGGATCCCAAACCACGCTAGATGTATTAAAACAAAACAAAAAGGAACCAAGTACATGTTTATTATTCATGTCGATTACTAGCCTCTATCCCATATCATTAAATTCTTTTCCAGATTCTATTGTTTCTCTGTATCTTTAAATTATAGACTTAATGTGTATTTGGGTAGTGGCCCCAGAGAACTTTTCTATAAAATTTAATTAGCCTTAATCACTTTAACTTCTGTCTCCAGATTCTTACCCAGTAAGTTAAATGAATTGTTTCCAAATGATGCACACTTTGATGCCACAGCTTTTTTACTTAAGCCATAAAACTTGCACGGTGAGGTGTTTTCTTGAGACCAGCACCAAATGAAACACACTCACAGAAGGGTGGGGGAAACAAATAGAAATAACAACAGAGTAAAATACAAAAGTCACCTTTTATGATAAGTTGTAAGATTTATTTAAAAGCACTAAAGGGGCACAGCTTTGATAGCATGAAGCCTTGGCAAAACCCATTTGATTTAAGCACCAATTACACTGATTACGCAAGAAATAAAGGTACCCACTGCGAAATAACTGCCAATTCAAAATTTCTAAAAAATGAGGCAACAGACGGTCAAGAAGAGTGACTAACCACTTTTGAGCCTTTTTCAGTTTCATCTGCTGCGGTGGTTGTGGCGGCATGCCCTGTTTCCTCTTCACCAGTCACATTGTTGTTGGTACTGGTGGCTGAAACCGCATTAGGATCTGTATCAACGACAGCGTTCTCTTTGGCGGCACCGTCACTTGCCGGAAAAGCACGAATTTCGGGTTCAATTTTGGATTCATGCACATTGCTCCCCAAAAATTCTTTGCTCAATTCTGAATTTTGCACATGAAGACTACTAGTATTATTAGTTTCAGTAACAACCTGACACTCACAATCCTCTTCGCCAATTTCCGTTTCAGTGGGAACAGCAACAGCTTTCTCGCTCTCGTCCCCAAAGCAGAAGACGACGCTTCCATCAAACCACTCTGTCACAAGAATTACAACCCAATAAGAAAATAAATAAATAATATGTATTTGTTAATATGTTGTTCGTTTCCTGAGAAATTTGGCAGCATACATACCGCTTGTGGAAATCAGATGTAATTGCGAGGATGAATGCGGAAGAAGCGTAGGCCTGGGCTTAGGAAATCCTGCAATTGGAGCGTGAATGCTACCAAGTTTTTCATGGAAGAAGGGCTTTGGAGATGGAAAGGGAGCTGGAGAGAAGGCAGAGAAGCTCAAACACCGACCTCTGACGAGGCATAGAAAAGGATCAGCCATTTTCTGATTTATTTAAGCATTTAGATTTATTTATTTATAATGGCAAGGCAAGGCAAGACAACCTTCTGGATTGTTTTTTGGTATTGATTTTTTTGTTTTTGTTTTTAGTTTTATCAGAATATTGATTCTGTTATCACTCCAGTGCCACTATGACTTAACATTGAGTCTCAAGAAAACGGGGCGGTGGGGATTGGAAAACGGTCATTCTTCCGGAGCACGCTCACGTGGCACGGATGTTTAAGGGCCTAGCGCCAGACAATGACACATCATTTCTTCAACAATATTCTCCTGTAAGGCTGTAATTTTTCTTTAGGAGAAGAAATTCGAGCGCATCACCTAGTGTAATAGTTAATTAAATTTGCAATGGCTTGTAGTTGAGTAGTTAAAAACATTTATCTCTGTATTTGAAGTTCGATTTTTCCATCCCATTATTTGTATTTTACCAAAAAAAGGAAGTTTGCATGGATATCATTTGAACTTTTCAATTTATGCGTTATTACCGCATGAACTTTTATTTTATCATATGAACTTCGTAAAGTGTTAAAATTTAGCATCTACATTTAACACTATTAAAAATTCAGATGGCAATAATGCACAAGCCTAAAAATTGTAAGGAGATTGTGTAAAGGCTGTACCAACTTTTAAAGGCTTTTCCTTGCATAAATCATTTTTGTAATTCAAATTCCAAATGCTCAGCCTTGGATCTTAGAATTATAGGATATGACTTTCATCTTGACAAAGGAATGAAGACGACTTGGCATCAACGTATTTTTTCCTGTAAAATGATATTTGACTATTTTATTTCATAATATCATAGGTTGCATTTCATTTACTTTTCATAATTTAAAAAAAAATTTGTTTTACGCGGAACATGACCGCTAGGATGACAACTGTTGATGTCCAAAAATGCAACCAACTTAGAAGTTAGCTTGCCTTTGGTCGAGGCGTCCTATGACTGGTGGAGCGTTCATCCATAAGAGAAGAGAGCAAATGTGAAGTCTTTGACACCGATGTGGTACTTGTCGATGATTATTCGATATTTAAGTTAATACAAATGTTAGGTATAAAGAGAATTTGATAGAGTAACAGTGTACGTACAAGTTTATTATAATATTGTGCACTGGGGTGAGTGCCCTATCTATAAAAGTAAAATGGAAAATGCTTTGTATAATTATTTCGATGTAGGACTGCTGACATCGTTTACGAGGCTGACATATGTCCCTAGACTTGAGCAGCACCGCAAGTGCCTTTGTCAAACTGGAGCGGCAAGTAGACCTGCCGAAATTGATTTTGATATGAACTTGTTCATCATACATCTCATGTTCAACCTAGATGCCCTTTCAAGAAGACCTGAGGAGCTCCATGAGGGTATTGCTGTCACTTAGATTTAGGTAATTTGACGAATCAGATGCATACGTATTGAGTTTTTGTTGAAATTAGCATTGACATGTTCCCAAATCGAATCCACATATTTTTTATAAAATTCCAACTTTAAATTTCATCTAAATAATTAATGTACCCTCCATAAAGACTTGCCTTGAATTTTTAATTTTTAAATAATTTATTTTGTTGAAAACTTTTCACTTCTATGATGATAGTTAAATTTTTGTCACCCCTATTTTTGTCACATGAAATTTATAAATTCTTTGTTTATGATGTATGTCAATTTAAACCTTTTTTTTTCAAAATCTTCGTCCAAATTCTAAAGTTTATTATCTTCATCCAAACACACGCCTAAAATACTTCTTTAGGTATCCACATTTGTAGTTAAAAATAATAATTAAAATAATTAAAAGTGAATGGGAAAGCAAAGAAATTTTAAAAAAGGGAAAAAAAAAATCAGAATTGGCTATCAATTTGTAAGGAAAAAAAGAAGATAAATCCTTTCCCAGATATATCATCCTGTTCATGTATTGAAAGAAAACAAAGATGATATAATTGTATGATTTTGCAAGAACCTTTATCATTGATATTTTGGAGGCGTAGCCTGTGGAGGGAGAAAGACAAACACAAAGTAATGGTCCACGTGGTTGGATGCAAAACAAGGATGCGGATGGAGGTCTGGTAGTAGTAGTTTCCCATTGGTCCGAAATCTATCCAAGACACATCCTCAGATATCATTAGATCTTCCCTCTCCAACTCACTTCTCATAAAAACCACACAAAAGTCTTCTCAGCCTATACCAACTCTCTGCTCTAATTGTTCTAAAAATTGTAGATAGATAGAGTGCAAGAGATAGAGAGAGAGTGTGTGAGAGATCTAGAGAGAGAAACAGAGGGAAATGGCAGCAACAACTGGTGCAGTGCTTAATGGGTTGAACTCACCCTTCTTGTGCGGAGGCAAGAGAAGCCAGGCCTTGTTGTCTGCTGGTTTTGGAACCACCAGAGTTGGAGGAGGCCCTGCTGCTCCTAAGAGGTTCATTGTGGTTGCTGCTGCTGCACCTAAGAAGTCTTGGATCCCAGCCGTTAAAGCCAGCAACAACTTCATCGATCCTGAGTGGCTCGATGGCTCGTGAGTCTCATTTCAACCATCAACCATGTTAATATACATTAATATACTTACATTAGAGTAGTTTAGAATATCGATTTGTCCATAAGAAGTATAATATATGATATTGTATGCATGCAGGCTTCCAGGTGACTACGGTTTCGACCCGCTAGGACTAGGCAAGGACCCAGGGTTCCTAAAGTGGTACAGAGAGGCTGAGCTCATCCACGGAAGGTGGGCAATGGCGGCCGTGGTTGGCATCTTTGTAGGCCAGGCCTGGAGTGGTGTCCCATGGTTCGAAGCCGGGGCCGACCCCAGCGCTATAGCACCCTTCTCCTTTGGCTCACTGCTTGGCACTCAGCTCTTGCTCATGGGTTGGGTGGAAAGCAAAAGATGGGTGGACTTCTACAACCCCGAGTCCCAGTCCATTGAGTGGGCCACACCTTGGTCCAAGACTTCGGAGAACTTTGCCAACGCCACCGGAGAGCAAGGCTATCCTGGTGGCAAGTTCTTCGACCCCTTGGGCTTCGCCGGCTCCATCAAGAACGGAGTCTACATTCCAGACAGCGAAAAGTTGGAGAGACTGAAATTGGCCGAGATTAAGCATGCAAGGCTTGCTATGGTGGCTATGCTAATTTTCTATTTTGAAGCTGGACAGGGGAAGACACCCCTTGGAGCTCTTGGCTTGTAAATCATTTGGTATTTTATGTAGATATAATTTAATTTAATTTGATGAGTATCACCTAAAATCGGCATCTCTTACCTGGCAGAAAGGCCTCCCTCCCTCTTAAACAATAGGTAAGGAAATCAGCACAATATGCATTTTCTCTACAAAACTAAATTAGGAGAGATAATATAACATATTCAGACAACTTCATATCTTGTCTTCCGAATCATTACAAAAACTACGCATAGAAATCTTTTTTCTGATTAACTTAAAAAAACCACAGGAATCTTTTACCTCATTGTTACATGCAATTATTTCTCCCTCACAAAATAGAGGAACACCCTATGAACAAAACTACTGAATTTTCACGAAGCATATTTCTGTGTTCAACTCACCTAAAATACATATATAAGAGCAATAAAATCTAATCAAACTGCCACAAGACGTAAACTGCCGAGAGGATTAAAAAGGAAAAAGAGAGAAGGAAAAGAACAAAAAACAAAGATCAACCGATTTTAGTGATGAAATAACAAAAACATTCGAGATCAGTCACTGCCAGTACCAGTAGCCATCAAAAACTCTCCCTCACACACCACTTCACCTCCCACATAGGCCTTGCCTTCCATCTTTGCTATTCCAAAGCGTTTCTGCAGCTTGACTAGTGTCATTCTCATCACTAATGTGTCACCAGCAATCACTGGTTTCCGAAATCGCACTTTGTCAATACCAGCAAAAAAGAAAGTGTCACGAGAGCCTCCCACTTCCGGTTGCAACATAACCAAGCCACCGACCTGTGCCATTGCCTAGATCCAACAAGCACAGACATATTTCATTACTAATCCCAACAGAATTAGGCAATTGTTAAAGGGAAATTTGGTCAACTTCGGCAATATCCATTATCTTGTTAAGAACACAGGATGTAATTCTGGCAAAAGTATTACCTAAAGCAATTATCACTGGGCTTACAACTTTTCTTAAGAATCAAATGCATGATAACCAACAGAAAACAGATTCATTCCTTGTTTTGTCAATCAAGGATATGTTTAGGTGCCCATGAATGGGAGTAAGGCTTCCATTACATAATGAACTATAACGTATTAAAAATCTATTAACCTGACTTTGTCCAATGGCCTTCTGAAGTTTGATCCTCACACAATATGAATAATTTTCTGGTCTTGTCTTAAACAAGCAGAGGCTAAGGTGCTAATGAGGGAAGTTTCTATAATGACTTGCACTATTAGAAACTTAAACTTAGAAACCTTTAAAACCTGACTTGGTAAAATACCGGTTTGTCCAAACCTACCAAAAAAAAAGAAGCTTTTTTTCGCGTGAATCATACAGTCAACTCCCAATACAAAAGAATCAAGAATGATATTCATCTATCTGAAAAGTTTTCACTACAAATGACACTTCACTTATAATCATGAGCACCATCCAGCAACCCCACACAATCTTACATTTTACACGATTCACTGTCCAAAAAACGAAAAACCTGGATACAATTATGATCCAATCATTTTCCAACAAAATGTCTTTTTTTTTCTATGTAAAAAAATTTATAATCATAGATATATGCTACCTGCTTAACTGCAAAGAAAAATCAAGTTGGTTCTACCATTCTACTACTAAGTTAGAAGTCTATAAAATGAGAATTTTCTATTCAAATCCAAACCGACGTTTTGCAGAAAGAGAGATCAAACAATGTAGGTCAGAATAGTACAAGAAATTGAAAATTCTATTGCGAAGACAAATGGAAAACCATCCAGTGATCTTCCTTAATCACATCCTTTATCAACCTTTAGAAACCGTCAACGAGAAGCTGCTCGGTCCAGGGGAGTTGTCACTACCACACTCAAAAATTACACTCCAAATCTCATCCTTCAAAAGACTGTTCCAACCAAGCTGCCCTCTCCTCATTGATAGGACACCCATGGAAACTTTCTTGCTTACACCCCGACTCCCTTTCTCCAGCTAAATACTTATCAAGACACCCATGGAAAAACCAACGGGGAGAAATAGAAGAGGGAAAGAAAGGAAAGGAATTCAAGTCTGCAAGAGACATCATGGCCTATTCATAAGGCCAGTCCAAACATCAATTCAAGTCCAAATTCCTCAACAACTCCAATCAACATCAAGGCCGTTAATTACACCCAAAATTATAATTTTAATCCCACATCCTTATGAAAAGCATTTCAACCCCTTCTAACCCACCCCAGAGAAAGGCCAAAAATTTAAAGAAGACAGAAGCTAAAGTTGCGGACAACACAACTGACATGATTCCCACCTCCGCCTCAGTTGCCATTTTGAGCTTAAAACTTCTAGGACTTTGGATATAGATTATGCATGTAACTGAATCAGAGCTTCAAACTTCAGGTCCAGTCAGTTCGAACAAGTTAATATAAGCTAAAAGGTACCTTTTGCTAAATAAACTGATTCTAGTCCGAAATAATTAATCTAGCATAACCTGTAACCAACTTAACAGTTTTGTTCAATAAAAAGTCAAGTTTAAACCTGATATTACAGATTACAAGTATAGGAAAGACTTGATAGGTTAGGAATTGCTGCAAAGGTAGCATCATCAGTGAAAAATATTCCAAGGTTAAATGCAGCAAGAAATTAACTGGTACCATGAAAGTAAGTTTCATCTTTTGTAATTAATGAAAGTAAGTTTCAGCACCTTCTAATTTGTAGCTTTAGAGAATAATGGATGTAAGCAACAGGGGACATCTTTTAGTATGGTAAGGGAAAATGGTTATTACCTCAACCATGAGAACACCAGGCATGATTGGCCTCTCAGGAAAATGCCCAGGAAAGAAATTATCATTTATTGTTACATTCTTGATTGCAACAGCAGAAACTCCAGGATTGTATTCAATCACTCTATCCACTAAGAGAAATGGAAACCTGAAAAACAAGAAAAAACAAAACTGCACATTAAAATTCAAATATAAATTGGGATAAATCTTAAAGAAAATTAAAAAACAAAAAAAATAAAAAATAAATAATAATAAATCACAAATGCTTCCTTATTATTTCGAGATCAACAAAAACATAAATAATCAACTAAAACATAGGGAAGAAAAAGATAAAAACAATGGCTTTGACTCCACTGAAAACAGCGAACACAAGATTATAAAATTCTATTACCAAGTTCAAGAAAAATCTGCAAGGTGGGTTTGTTTGCTTGTTTTTTTATTTTTCCCTGATTGATCAAAACAACACAAGAAAACCAAATTTGACACTAAATGCTGCAGATAAGGTAACTCACCGGTGAGGCAAAATTTCACGAATCTGATTGATATCCATGACAGTAGGAAATGCTTCATATCCTGCAGAAACGCAAGTTATATTGTGAATGAACAACTGAACCAGAAAGAGAGAAGAACAACTGAAACCCATCAATCAAAGAAGGAATCATACTCAATTCAATAGGGGTCTCCTTGTTGGGAGCTTTTGCAGCGTCCGTGGAGCAACAGGTAGTGAAACGACTTGAATTTCTTCTAGTTTTCAGATGGGTTGTTGATAGGGGCGGAGATCTAGGAAGCCTAAGGCCAAGAGAGACCCGAGAGAGAGATAAAGCAGTCGTTGGCTTATGAAAGATCGGCGGCTGCGAACTGGGAGCAGGAGAAAACAGAGTGCTGGAGGAAGCTGCGGTCGACATTTCTGTGTTGTTGGTGGAAACAAAGAGAGAAGCGAAGTGAGGTTAGGGGCAATGGCTGTGTTTGTTTGAGCAATTATCAACTACGGGCATTTAAAAAGGTCAGAGGATGACAGTAACGAGGCAGGTACTCTTCAGGTTGTGAGATTGTGCAAAACGTCAAGCGGTTTGTTTCGACTCTCAATGGCGGAGATAACAAAGTTGTTCATTTGTTGTTGCTGCTAGTATCCATTGGAAATTGAAAGAATAACATATGAGGGCTGTGCACTATGACTCTGTAAAATGTTAGTGCGGTTAACTTCTTGGTTTCCACATATCCATCGAATAATTATAGTAGTACCATCATTTGTTATAACTTGTTCACATGTTATAATAAAAGAGTTCGTGATTTCGGATAAGCTAATAATTACTTCTATGGAGAATCAGTTTTTCATATAATTACTTGGCCCGTTTGAGAGTGCTTCTAGAAGGGTTAAAAGCGCTTATGACAACGTTTGACATAAAAGTTTAGAAGTGTTTTTGAGTCATAGAAGTGCTTTATGGAGAATCACTTGCCATGTGTTTCTTCATCATGCATAGAAGCACTTTGATTTTTTTTTTAAATGAAAATTTCAATATCTTTATAATAAGAGTGCTTCTGTTAAAAACGTTTATGAGCATAAATGCTTTTAAAGAAGTAGGGAGAAATATGGAGAAACACATTCAAGGTGTTTCTCCTCATGAAATATGGAGAAATATGTTATAGCAGTATTTTAAAAAATAAAAAGGAGCGTAAGTAAACAAAAGGGGAGTGGAAAAATCAACACCCTAAATAAAATAAAAATAAACATAATAGTAGGATATGTCCTTAAAGAAATGTACATTCTTGGAAGATTGGTCATTGTATAAGCAAATATTTACACACCAATGACAAAAGGCCACGTGGAAAAGAAGAAGTCCATATGGATCAAATTGCCCATGGCCAGTAAAAAACTTCCATGTAACGGGGATAACACTGTTTTGCTATCCCTGGCCAATAACACAATGATATGTGGAAAAGTTATCCTACGTGTCGTTGCGTTATTAGCTGGGGATAAATGCTATCTCCGTTACATGAGAGTTTCTCTCCATGGCCAAAGGTGGGAGAAAGCGATATGCATGTTGTCATGCACTAATTAGGATTAGAAAGCATCATCACCTAGCGTTGGCAAATGTCACTTCCTATGCCAAGCATGACTATTTTTTTAGGCAGCTTCCCGTAAATTAGCCAAAATCTTCAAAACCTTCCTATTTATTACGGCATCAATAAATACGGAGATTACACTCATCCAATTCAAATAAATATGCCTACATTCCCAAGTCAAATGACTAGTTGACTTGACGTGTAAGCCAACATGTCTTAACACGCCCAATCAACGTTCAACACGTTGCTTGTAACGGTAAAAGAAATCCCACTTTGCTCAAAGCTCTCATTATGCTTTGGCATAAGAGACTCTTTGGCTCACACCAAACTAGTGTGCTAAAGAGCTAATTTGATATTTCTTCCCTTAGTTTCAAGCACAAAGGTCTTTCCAATCATTAGAGAGATTCATCCCCCACAGTCATCAATTTGAAGAAGGAAAAGCAAAGAACATTTAAATATTTTGGATTTAATTAGAACTTTATGCATGCATTAGACTCGAATTCCTATGAAGGCTTTAACCCGTAGGAAAAATTGTCATTCCTACTTGAACTTGACCCTATTGAGAAATCGATCGAATCAAGCTGATTTATCAGTGGACTGACTCAGTTGGTGAAACTGTCGTACAGTTCAACATTGGTGCTTGTAATTCACGAAACAAAGAGGTTGGTTCGGTGAGCAGTTTCCGGCAAACGGCTTGAGTTGGTTGGGTTGCCAAGCCTTTGTTGTTTTGTTTTTGTTTTTGTTTTTGTTGGAGAAGTTATAATTTATCTAACCCATGAAATAAGTATAGACAACCTGTTATCTTACTAAGATTCCCTTATTTTAAAATAAAATTTATGGAGATGTCATGTTTTTGCCACGTGAATGTGAATGTGAATGTGTAGCATAGGCTAAAAATAAAAGAGCTTAAAAAACAGACTCTGCTCCTGCTGGTCCAAGACGCCTGCGCCCCTTCCCACCTTCCCCCATGCATCGGATTGCTTGACTCTTCTCCCTCTCTTCACAGTGGACAGAGACAGAGAGGGAGAGAGAAATTATGCAATTGAAGCCCTTCAACTCCTTGAGCATCGCGTTCATGATGGGTGGCGCATTCTTGATCCTTTTCCTCTGTAGCTTCCTCGAATTCCCTTCTATATCAACCTCAATCCAACCCATGAAAGATCCCAATCTCTCTCTATCTCTAACCAAGTCCACGCCTGACCCATTTACCAATTTGATCAGTGCCTTCAAGAAATGGGACTCTCAAGTGGGTTGTGCCCATTTCAGAGGCAAGCATCATGAGGCGTTACTTCAAAGCCAAAATCAAAATGGTTCTTCTTCTTCTCTGCAACAAGTTCAACTTGGCATTGAATCTGAGTGTAGGGAGCCCAAGGTTGAGCATATCAGCGTCATGGTCAAAGGGTGGACTTGGATTCCTGATAATTTGGATAATTTGTATTCGTGCCCCTGTGGGTTGAGCTGTTTGTGGACTAAATCTTCCGTTCTTGCTGACAAGCCTGATGCCTTACTGTTTGAGACTACTACGCCTCCGCTTCAGGTACCTCCATTTTTTCAGGCTCCTACTGTCATTTTTGTTGTTGAAGATTTCAGCTATAAGGGTTTTTCCACAAGTTGCAAATATACAGATCTGTGTGTCTCCTATTTGATTACATTTGTTTATTTATTTATTTCTAATTCATCAGGGTTAGGTAGTTTTCGTTCAGATCATGAGAAAATTTTCCCCTTTAGGAAGTTGCCTCTTTGAGGCATATTATCAAACGTTCTGGGGGCAACTCTTAATGAACAAACCAGCAATCAAAGAGCAAGCACCTCAGTCCCTTTTTTCTGTGTCGGGGTTATGGGAGGGAAGTGCCAAGGGTTAGAGTCAAAGCAAATCAATAGCTATATGTGTATTCAGGTGCTTGTAAACCATGTCTTTACGTTACTACTTCCCATGTGGATATTTTCCATGGTGAATAAACAAACATGGATTTAAAGCTACTTGCTTCTTTTACTTGCAATGGAAAAATAACACCACCATTTTCAACCTAACTCCACAATGGTTCTTCGGCTAATCTCGCAGAAAAGAATAATTGCATACAAATAATCCAATGTTAAGAGGCATCCCACATACATGCTTGAGCTTTGGAACTAGCTTTTGCCTCCTTTTACTGTTGCTGCCAACTCTGTCCCCAATTACAGTCGCAATTTGCATTCAGTTTCTTCAATGATACATCTAACTTGTTAGTTAACTCCCCAGAGTTCTTTTGGCATATATTAAGTTGAAAAAATAAGGATTGCATAAATTGAGGCTCACCTTTCTTTATAAAATTGTTTCCTTATCTCACTGAAACAAGTAAGAAGAAAAAATGATACATCAAACTCATAATTTCAAGGGAAGCTCACGCCTTACCTCACCACGGCAGACTCATAGTATTTCTCTTTATATATTTCTTGAGTTTTGAATTGTATGCTACTCCAGATTTGAGTTATATTTGCTAATTAGCATGCAAATGACTTTGAATTGATCTTTCTTGTTAACATATATGAAACATATTTGTCCACATTTCAACTAACTAACTTAGCTAAGGTGGTCGAGACCCTAGGGTTTCAATAAGCTTAATTTTAACAACCCAAAAAATGAAAAGAGGAAATAAGGGGAAGAATATGTGACTTGTGTATTATGTTTACGTTATTAGTTCATAGAAAGTACAAGAGAGAAAGTGGAATTCAGAATTTGAGATAAATTTAAGTGGACATAAGAAAATGATGGTAGTGGTGTTGACATGTATATGATAGGGGTGTTTGTGGTGGGGTGGAGGTGATTCTGGCACCAAAGGCTTAAGATATGGGTGGTACCTCTGGTAAGGTACTACTGGTTTTCCCACAAACAAGAGAGAGTTAATGGCTATGATTGTTGTTTATAATTGGCATCATAGTTATCATTATCTCCATTTAAGAGAAAAGTTGCAATAAGCCCATGGTTTTAATGTACTGGATTCTTACATGTACATACCTCTTTTGATCATTGTATGGACTACACAGTTTTTATTGATTTCCCTGGACAAACTATCAGTAGATGTCTGTTTTTATTCCCATTTGTAATGATATCTCCTTGCAAAAGAAAATAAAAATTCCCTTTGTACTAATAATCAATATCTGCTCAACATTAGCTGCACTTTTCTTAACATATCCTCAAGTTAGGAAGTTGTTTGTTAATTGCTGGTGGCAAAGCAAGGAAAATGAAGTGATGAGGCTGTATGGACGACAGTGTGTGGGTGAGCCATGGTTGTTGAGTTTAGTGTAGGTGGATGTGCTTTAGCCATCTGTTGTAACAATTTCTAGGACTTCCAAATTCAAAATCTATTTGAAGGGGATCCTCATGATAGTATCGGTTATTAGCTAAGGAGTTAATCAACTTAACATCACAAGATAGGTAATGGAGCTGTACCTCTTTGATTAGGTTGTGTTAAACTTAGTCCTCCTTTTATATACTTGCAGTTACATTATGTAAAATCCTTCGAGTGCTTGTGGCAACAGTTCTTAATGACAATCTCCTATCACTTGTGACTGTACAATAAAGATAACAGCAGCTTCTTAAACTTTTAGGACATGAAGGGTCTTTGAGTCCGTAAACCTTTTACCACTGTTCTCCTTGTTTAATGTACTAGAAAAAGTAGGTTTCTCCTCTTTGCTGCTGAAGACTAGGTATTCTGCATACAATAGAAGGCTAGGAACAATGAGAATCTACCTTAGGGACAGGTCAAACAGAGGGCTTGTTTGTGGCACTGGAGAATCTTCTCTCCTGTTTCTTGTGTCACTGAACCTCTCTGCAACTCTAATAGGGGATTGCAGGCCAAACCTTCTCCATATGAAAAAAGGGATACTGCAGCAAATAAGGAGTTTTTAGTTAAGCATGCCTGGGTTAGAGTAGATGAGTAATATTTTATAAAACTAAGGGATTGCCTTGTTTCTTTTTCTTATCATCAATTCTTCAACATTTCAACTCGCTATATACTTGTATGTGTCTTGCTATGGACATTTGCCCAAATGACCAATTTCAACCATCCATTTATGTGGGGCCCACACAGTCCTACCCATTTATGCAAGCCTGAACAATTGAAATATTTCGATCCCGAACATTTCCCTATACATGATATATAATATTTGATTGAAAGATATTTGGGTCATTAATAGTTAATGTGCTTTGATCGTATCGTTGATACTGTTGAGGAAAGCTTGTTTTATTTTCATGTGTGTCTGAGGAGGGAAGAAAGCTGTGTTATGAAATTGTTTTGTGATGGCAACCTTTTGGTTTATTTTGTAGAGTTGAATGACAAAGCCTTTGAACAGTAAGTGGTAGTTTGGGGCTGGGATTATTTGAGGCGTGGAGCTCAACTTTGGACATTTTTGTGGGCATTTCAAATGATATTGACTTTCAACCCTAAACCCTAAAATGGTAGTGACTTTATTCATTGTTGTTTCTTGTTTTAGGGGCATAGTTTCCACCAGCAATGTAAATAAGAACTTGGATATTTATGAAATACTCTGTATTTCGTATCCCAAAAAACAAAATGATTGAAGGAGAGTATGAGACTTTTGTCTCTGTGTGTGTGTACAATTACTGTGAAAACCTGTAATTTAGATCTGTATATATATATATATATATATATATATGATAATATTAAGGTAACATTCAAAGAAAATAAATTAAATATATTTTGAATTGTGTTAGGTTCTCATGTATATTTGTTATCTGAAAATTATCTATGCACATAGTCCAGGTGTCTTATTTTCTAGGTCTACTTCATTGCCCTTTTGTTTTTGCATTTTGTTAGAGAAACACTGGAGATCCACTTCGTGCGTACATGGATCTTGAGGCTGGCAGGAAGAAATCTGGCTTTGAGGATCTATTTATTGGTTATCATGCCAAAGATGATGTGCAGTGCACCTATGCTGGTGCACTCTTTCACAATGGTCGGAATTATCACGTGTCTTCATATAAGCACAATGTAAGTGTTTGACTCTCTGTTCTTTCTAGGTTATTTTCATAACTTTCACTCATTTCTGTTTATCTTTTTTTCCAACATTAGTTATATGACAGTATCTGTGATTCTGTTTGAAGGATACACTTGTTTATTGGTCATCATCGCGTTGTCTGCCTCAAAGAAATAAGCTTGCCTATAAGCTTCTCAGCTTACTACCTCACCATTCGTTTGGAAAATGCTTGAACAATGTTGGTGGCTTGGACATGGCCCTTTCGTTCTACCCTGAGTGTGCCAGTGATGCTAGTGTCAGTCAGAAATGGTGGGACCATTTACATTGTGCTATGTCTCACTATAAGTTTGTTTTAGCTATCGAAAACACAATGACAGAGAGTTATGTGACGGAGAAGCTATTTTATGCTCTAGATTCTGGTGCAGTTCCTATCTATTTTGGTGCCCCTAATGTCTGGGACTTCGTCCCTCCTCATTCAATAATTGACGGCACTAAATTTAGCAACTTGGAGGAATTGGCTTCTTATGTGAAAGCCCTTGCCAATGACCCAGTTGCCTATGCCGAGTACCATGGATGGAGAAGATGCGGCGTAATGGCGAATTACGTAAAAACCCGTGCATTGAGCCTTGACACATTACCATGCAGACTCTGTGAAGCTGTTAGCAGAAAAGGTGGGAGAAATGCAAGAGGCAAGTGAAATTTTGGCCTTCTGTCTCATTTGAATGATTTACTGCTAGTGCTCATAGTGATTCTGGGATTTTTATTATGCAACTTTTATGATTATGTGTAAATTGTATACAAGTGACACTGACATGTGTTAAAATACAAATCTGCAGTTGTATATCTGAAGAGATCCAAAATTTAACTCAATACTTTTTTTTCTTTCAATTTTAACATTCCCATTAGTTAGGCTTCCAAAAAGAGGGCAAAGATTAAAGAACAAACGAGGTCAAAAGACCAACCAAGAACACACAAACCGGACAGTCCATCCCATTAGACACCCCAAGCTAACAAAAAACACATAACCTTATAGCAACTAGCTAAAGGGAAAATTTCATTCCTCAACAAGGCCTTGGCATGAGAGGTTAAAATCCTATAGAGTGAAGCCTACATCTAACAGAATTCAAAAACAACTTGAGTGTTATAGCAGAGGGCAAGAAGAGTTTCTGAAAATCATACAATTTCTTTCCTTCCAAATGTAGTAGACATAGGGAGCAAGATAGAGTCGCTTGACAATGGATCTCGCCGATTTGCCACTCCAAGAAGATGAGGACCAAGGAATTAACAGATGCTGAGATTGAGGAATGACCACCACACTACACTTACACATAAACTAACTCCAAATAGCTTCAGAGTAGGAACACTCAAGGAAAAGATGATCAATGGACTAGGGGGACCAAGCTGCAAATTTTTGAAGTGTTGATAAGTTCCCCTTAATGGCCATCCACAAAATAAAACTCATTTTAGGCATGTTCTCATTAAACCAAAGCAAGGAATTCCAAGATACCATTAGGTAATGAACCCGGAGAAAATCCCAAGCAAAAGCAGCAGAAAAAAGACCATTTGACGCAAGTACCCATCGAACCACATCCATATTTGAATTAGGCTAGATATAGTCTCCTCAGAGCAACACGAAGACAAAGGACCAAAGGGATGCCAGTAATCATGCCATAAAGATGTATTTTGCACAATGCACGAAAGCGCCAGAAATACGAAGCGCTAATAAGTCCAGTGGCACTGAAATGTGAAAAGGAGCAAAGTAAGATGTTGCTGCCTCGAGAAGTCGAGAACCATCGGAGTTTATTTTATTATTATTTTTAATAACATTTTTGCACAAATTGTTAAATACAGATCTCTGCGTCCATGACATCTTTGGGTTGGGGCGGCCTTGGGAGGCTGTGGTGGCTGTTAGTTATAGGGTATGGTGGCTAGCTGGGGTTGGGTAGGGGCTGTTGGTGAGAGCACTTCCACCAGTTAGCCTCTTGCCATGGCAAGGGGAGCCCTAGGGCAGCTACTATTCATGTGAATAGTGGCTGCCCTACCCCCCCTTAGCAAAGTGTGTTTCCAGCAGTTTAGGCTTGCCATGGCAAATACTATTCATTTTTTTGTTTTTTTTCACAACTTTGTTTACTTAAACAATTAATTTGGATAATATTTTCGGATAAGATTTTTGGGTTCCTACATATGAAAAATCATTTTCTCAAGATTTTTAGCGGAGATGCAATATTGACCAAGTATGAAAAATGGTTTTTCGGAATAATCATTTTCTCAAGATAATTTTTGGTGGCTTTTATTCCTTACACATCAAATAAGAAAACTTGATTTTATGGGATTTTAATATGAAGTATATATTCACTTAATGAGCCATCATTTTTAGCCTAAATCGTATTTTGCACTAAAACCGATTTTTCATATTTTGATTTGGTGGGAATTTGATTTTCTAGTATTTTTATTTGAATCCAAATGGGGGATACTTCCTTATTTACATTGTAAACTTAAGTAAATGGAGTAATATAAAATAAATAAAAGTAAAAGGACAAAGAAATTGAAATAGAGAGAAAAAAAAAAAAAAAAAAAAAAAAAAAGTAATTTTTTGGTATTTTTTTCAATTTTTTATTACAAAAATATTGGCTGCTGGTGTTAAAAGTGAAGAGTATTGGTTGGTATTTATAGAAAAAAATTTCAGTATTTTTTACATTTTTTTATTGGGCAAAGGGAGCACTGTAGCGCGTTGACGTCAGATTGCCCTCGGGCTGGCGCTCGGGCCAGCCTCTCCCTCGGGCCAGCCCAGGTAGCTGGGCCCCACTCCTTGCCATGACAGATCTTTGTTGCTGGAAACCCCATTTTGGGTTTGCCCCCCAACCCTCCTCTTGAGCCCTTTGCTAGAAATGCTCTGAGTGTTGGCTGATTGGGGAGGGGATGCAAGTTTGGACCAAAATACCCATATGAATAGATAACTGAAGTTAGAAATAATTTGACAGAAATCAAATTAGGATTGTTCTTCGATTTGCTACAATTATGAAACTATAATGAAAAAATTGACGAAATTAAAACTATAAGGTCAAAAGTGGTTGAAGTGTCAAACTTTGGGAACCAAAAATGACTTTTGGCCTTATTTTAATCATGGTGTGTACTTGATTATAATCTCTTTTCTAATTGTGCCAACACTACCAGAATTAGTTAATTATTTTTTCTCGGGGGCAAGTGAGACACGTATGTGTGAAAAATGGGGTAAAGTGAAACAAAATGAGTTTCAGGGGGCAAAGTGAGACTCAAATACACTTTGAGGGGGTATATAAAAAAAGCATATATATATATATATATATATATATGAGCTCCTCCTATTGATAGATCCCTCAAATAAGCTTATTTGCGGGACACTCTTGTAGGGCCCAATATTCCCTCAAAGATTATATCTACAAAAAATCACTTGAATCCGAAACTATTTGACCACTCAATTAGATTATTATTATTTTAGTATTTTCTTGAAACATCGTGTTCATCTATTTTGTTGCTAGCAACTAGATGCCTGAATGATTTTCAATTTTTTATAAGGATGATCTATGAATAAAAACTTGTAAAATAGACAGTTTGCATTGTTATAAAAATAAAAAAATAAAAAATAAAAATTGGTACAGTACCCTAAAAGATGTTCCTCCAATTTGAGGGAGCCCTCAATAAAGGGGGATTGTGTATATATATATATATATATATATATATTAATTAATTACGAAAGGTTTGTGGAGAAATTAGTAATTCCATATTTGAAGGACTGATTGAGTGAAATCTAAATAATGCAATAAAAAAATACTAAAAGAAAAAGAATAGAAAAAAAAACACAAAGTCAGTTAAGTCAGTTGTTTAAGACGATATGTTCCCCCTCTTGCACTCAAATTTTTTTATTTTTTATTTATTCATTAGTCTCTTGCACCCGAGTTCGATCCCTCTTCTTACATTATAGTAACTAGCCTCTCTGCATTGCGAGAGGCTTTTTTTTAAATTTAATTTAAAATTTAAAAAAATAATGGGTAGTTGTGTTTCATAAAAATAAGATCCATTATTTGAATTTTCTTTTAATTTTAATTTTTTAAAGTATAAAAATGTTTAAATTTACCATATTATCTTCATTTAACCAATGACATTTTCTAGTATTTTGAATGTTTTACTATTTTCTGTCTTTTGTTTTATATATATAGATTTGAAATATCACTAACATAAAAAAGAAAAGAAAAAAAAATAAAGGAAAAGCGAGGTAAATATGTAAATATTGGGTGAAGTCAGAATGGAAAGAAAAAACAAGTTGGAGAAGAAAGACGGAGAAAAAGAAAGAAAGAATACGAGGATGCGGATGGGCGAAAGAGTGTCGTGGTGTTGGGCGCTGATAGTATTATTGGCACTAGATTGTAGTTGTGTTGTGTATTCTTCGTCGTCGTCGTCGTCGTCTTGGGCTGTAGATGGGAAGGTGTTGGAGCTGGACGACTCCAACTTCGATTCGGCCATTTCGGCCCTGGACTTGGTCTTGGTTGATTTCTACGCCCCATGGTGCGGCCACTGCAAGCGCCTCTCTCCTCAGGTCTCTCTCTTTGGCTTTTCTGTGTAGAATTTTCAACAATCATTTAAGATCAATCCATCCATTCATCCATTCATGTTAATTAGTTTTTTTTCCGGTTGAAATCCATTTTATTTTGATAATTAAAAACAACTCTTAATCTGAGCATTACCAACAGCCAACCCACTATTTTTATTTATTTATTTATTTTTAATGCAAGCAATTACCAAGGTAATTCGAATATGAGACTACTGCACTGCAAGTCAATGCTCTTTGTCACTGGGCTAGACCTCGTCGGCCCCAACCCACTAATTTTGTTGCATCTTTTGTTTTCTTATTTAATTTTTGGTATTTTGTAGTTGGATGAAGCTGCCCCCTTGCTTGCTGGCTTGAAACAGCCAATAGTGATAGCAAAACTTAATGCTGACAAGTTTACCTCTCTAGCTCGAAAATATGAAATTGAGTATGCTCTTTTTTCCCCCCTTAGATTACAGTATTTCCATTTCCAGTTGAATATTGTTGAGTTTTGTTTGTTTTGATATAGTGCATATCCTACCCTGAAGCTCTTTATGCATGGCGTCCCCATAGAATATAATGGACCCAGGAAAGCAGATGCGCTTGTTCGTTATCTGAAAAAGTTTGCGGCTCCTGATGTTTCTATACTTGATTCAGACTCTGCTATTAGCGACTTTGTCCAAGCAGCTGGAACTTACTTTCCTATATACATTGGTTTTGGCTTGAATGAGTCATTGATATCAAAGTTAGCTATAAAGTACAAAAAGAAGGCCTGGTTTTCAGTTGCAAAGGATTTCTCTGAGGATGTAATGGTATTGTATGATTTTGACAAAGTTCCTGCTTTGGCATCCCTTCATCCAACTTACAATGAGCACAACATCTTCTATGGCCCCTATGAAGGTTAGTTGGGTTTGGTATATCTGTCCTAGTTCACCACTAAATACATCATAGTGTGTATTTAGTACATTTTAGTTAATGTGGCCTTTCTCGAGTCAAAATGACACATTACGTTGCATATTTACGGGTTGGTGTTGGACATCTCATTTCCTTGATTTCTTCAACTTGCATTGCTTATAGGATCCGTCTTTTCGTAAGAAAGCATTTATTTAGACGTAAAGTCATTGATGCAGTTGAGAGACATTTAGGAGAGTGCTTTTCATGCCATCTCGTTTGCATACTATTGTTGCATTGTGATTTTTATGCTTGAGATGTGCACAAAAGCCCAATTTTTGTGAAGTCCTTTGAAATAAAAATAAGGGATGCAGCTTCTCTTTAAAAATCACAGAGGTAAGGTGACTAATATTATTTCCCACTCCTCAGAGAGTTTATTATAATTTTGTTTAATGTTTTTATTTTGCCTCAATGATCTATTATAAACATTGCTTCTTGTTGTGACATGCATTCTTATGAATCGATTATCTTTTTGTATGCCTGCTTTATTTATTTCTAGTAGAAGTGAACCTATTTGCTTATGCTTGTTCTTCATAATGGACTGAGCTTTATGGTGCATGCTCAGCTATGAGATGATAGTTATCAGTCTTTTGAGAGTTACAGACATGGTGAGTTTGAAGTGTTGCCCTGAATCATAGATCTTATCCAAATTCAAGCTGACCTTGACTGTAACGATAATCAACTGTACTGACCTTAATGACCGTAGTAATCAAACATAATCTTTAGATGTCTTACTGTTTATCGGATGACACAATTTTTTGTGGTTGGAATAAGAATTCTGAATTTCAACAAGTTATAAAATCCATTCTTTATTTTCTTCTATAATGAGTAAATTTTTCATTTTTATGTGCTTTACCTAATTTTTTTGAACATGCAGAGGAGTTTTTGGAAGAGTTTATAAGACACAGTTTGTTCCCTTTGGCCATGCCCATAAATTATGAGACATTAAAATTGTTGAGCGATGATGAAAGGAAAATTGTTTTGACAATTGTGGAGGATGAGGATGAAGAGAAATCAAAGAAACTGATCAAGATTTTGAAATCAGCTGCATCTGCAAATCGGGATTTTGTCTTTGGTTATGTTGGGATCAAACAGTGGGAAGACTTTGCTGATACATTTGGAGCCAACAAGAAGACAAGACTTCCAAAAATGGTTGTTTGGGATCGAATGGAGGAGTACTTTACTGTAAGTGATTGGTTATTCGAAATTCGGATTTCTTTTAGATTTCCTTGATAAATTTAGCTTTGAAAATGGTATATGGTTGATTGTTTTTTATTTTATTTGTTCTGGTGATTATATGTTTCGTAACTTAGAGTGAAATAGGTTGTGACTGTGGCGCAGCATGACATTCTTTATCTAGTTTAATTTCTATTGGAAAAGAAATTGTTATTTATAAGGCATGTATCCTTGCCTAGATCAATTTGTTTACCATGCAGGTGAATAAACTGAGAAAGCAGTAAAATAATTAAGCGAGCTAGAGATAAGAAGATGAAGAGCATACCACTCAAGGATAACACCGTACAATGAACAATGTTAGCACAAAGGGTTTTTTGTCCTACTCTTCCAAACTTAAAAGCAATTCATTAGGTCAATATGGAGATTAGAAGATCAAGAGCATACCATCAAGGAGACACAGAAAAAGAGACAATGTCAGCAAAGAGGTTGCTTTGTCTGTGCCTTCCAAATTTGGGTTTGCTTCCACATTAGAAACGAGGTTGTTAACTGACCTGTGTAGAGACAATAGATGACTTATGAAATGCACAGTTACTATCATAGTAGCTGCCTGCACGTATGATTTAGATAATCTCTGATGACCTGTAGAGCCTTTCCCTTCTTTTCTTGCTTGTGAGCTTGAGTATCATACATTACTTATAGGAAAAACTGAGAGGGGAGCTATAGCTTTATAATGTTTGACCCACAAGCATGGGATCATATGGGATATAAGTAATGCCTTTAAAAACAAATTTCTTTTGTGGCTAGGTCAACTTGTGAGGGGTGCCGGCTGGGTTTGCCCAACCAGTCATCGATACATCACCAAAGTAATCCTCTAGGGATCATGATATAGGTTACTCAATTGTTCAGTTGCCTCTCAAGTTACCTAAAAGAATGCAGTAACAAAGATGTAGACATGTTTGTATCTGTAGCCAAATTCATTTGTAATTTTTTCAGGTCACCAGATAATATTCATGTTACATTTGCCACTTGAAGATTTCCTTGTTTTTCTTACTTCACTTGTATTTTTGACACATTTGCATGATAGAAATTCAAAACAGTTGACATTATTTTGTAAAATAGGTGAATGGTTCAGAAAGCATTGATGAGGAAGATCAGGCATCTCAAGTCTCACAGTTCCTGGAAGGATATAAGGAAGGAAGAATAATAAAGGAAAGAATTGGTGGTCCATCGTTTATGGGTTTTATGTCTTCAATTATTGGGATTGGAACTGTATACATAATTGGTTTTGTGGTTGTGGTAATGATGCTTATTAGATCAATCAATAAAGGAGAAGATGAACATCCTGCGGTCGCTACTGGCGACCAGATTGATCATGCTAGCAGTGAGGCCGAAAGCAGAGAGCAGAAATCTGGAGAAAAGGAAGATTAGAGTTGGCCTTTTGGACTTCTAACCAGATCTCATAGGAGTATACTGCCAAAAGAAACGAGAGAGATTTATTGAATGCAACTTTGCAGTGTGCCGAAAACAGTACGGAGTATTAACATGGATGATTTTGTAGAGAATGATGAATTCGTTGTCACTATTATGTGAACCCCTTAGAGATTTTCAGCTTAAATCTCAGCTTTTGTGTTAATATTGCCTCGGTTAAATTCTATATGCAGTACTCTTTTGTTTTCTTGTGTGAATTTGAAGAGCACAAATTTATTTTATTATTTACACTCGGCGTTCTTTGACTGGTCATTGCGTCGGTTCTATAATGTTGCAATAGAACCGGCAACACTACATTGGAGTCCTGACTAATTCATTTGAAGGCGTAGTCTCTCATTTGCGATTTTCTTCTGTCTTCTCGCTCAACTGCTCAGCTCCTCTCAATCTTAACTTAGGCAACCATGGTGATGAATCTAAGAACTTTTTAAAGGTGGTTGACATGTTTAATAAACAATACGCTTAAAAATTCAAGATATTATGAAATAAAAATATCATTACAACTTATAATTGTCCACTGCAAATAATATCGCGATGATAATTTTACCGCAATATTTTTCATAAATGAGACATGTTATTGATCCTAAGGCAATACGTAAGCTTTTAGAGCCTCAAATTATTATAATAAAATACCAAATATGTAAGTATGACTCTAAAAATTAGTTTCATATACCCTTTATTTGTATGTGACACTTATTTATTCTAAGTTTTAGTGTTACAGTTTTACTCTTTTGATAAGGAAATGCAGCATGGACATTTATCACATTTGAGAAAGCATCAACATTTTGGGATTTAAAGCAATGCATTATGAAGGAGTGCTCTATACGAAACGGCCTCTTATGAATTTAAGGATTTTGGAGAAAATAATTAGTGACGTTATATTATCACACGCCCTCGCATGTGTGATGAATTTAAAGCGTAACATGTAGACAACACCTATTTGGTGACGTGGAGCACGTGTATGAGACATTGACTTTAGGGTTTAGAGTTTAGACCCATGTCAAACCCTAAAATCCTAAACCCTAAAGGAAGTTGAGGTTCCATCCCAAAACTAATGGAAGGAGTACTCCAACTCTTTATAAGCCATTGTTAGGTTTTTTAACTTTCCAATGTGGGACATTTTCACCTTCACATTCTCACACACCCCAGCATGTGTGTCAAATTTTCAAGTGTAACACGTGGACAACTTGTATTGGGTAAGGTGGAGCACGTTGGCCGTTGGCCTTTCACACGTGGGCAAACCCACTCTAATACCATGAAGGAAGTTGCAAATCATCTAATAATTAATTTTTCATCTCTCATCTTTCCATTAGATTCTAATCAGTGAGGCAATGGGCGATCTGAACTCTTCCTTAATCGATTGTGAATTAAAACCCCTTTTAATTCTCCCTGTTATGAGAACATAGTTATGGTATATCCTTAGGGCTTCCACAAATCGTGAGTGACATCTTGCAAGATGTCACGGTTATCCAAACCAATGTAGAACGTGGAGGAGAACCTATTCAGTTGCAATTACAATGTAATACAGTCATTCTCTAACTCAATGTTCGTGGTTACATAATTAGCGCATGGAAAACATGTCAAGCTCCTAATGTGAACTCCAATCTTATATGACTCATACAAGTATGATTGGAATTACCATTCTCATTCATAATTAGTGCTTCGGCTGAAGACTCCTGAATGATATCATTATAGCATTCTCCCTTATTACTGAGGGTAGAGATCTCTTGTTATACACTCATCTGCCAATCTAGCTTTGTATCAGTCAATAGAACCGTCAGCCTTATGCTTCAAAGTAAACGTCCACATGCACCCAACAACTTTCTTCCCTCTTGGTAAAGGGACTAAATCTCAAGTTTCATTCTTGTTCAAAGCTTTCACTTCAACATTCATGGCATCCACACATTTGAGGTCAGAAATAGCATCATGCAGCTTAGTTGTCACACATACACTAGATAATTGACACAAATATGATGCATATGACTTAGATAAACGATGAGTTGATATATAGTGACTGATATAATATTTAGACTTATCATGTATATCATGTGAGTATTGTACTTTAAGTTTCCTACAAGTGGTAAGTAGGGGTTACTGAATGAGTATTGTACTTTAGGTTTTTCAAATCGCTTCATAAACGCCGCATTTGATGATGAGAACATGGTAAGTCTTCTTAATATTTGAAAATTCCCTTCCTTAAGAAACGTAGGATGTCACCATAAGCACTCCCAAATAGCCCTATATCTTCCTAACTTTCTTATTGAAATTGAGGCACACAAGTTTTATAAATTGTATAATTTTCTAGTGTTGTTTGTATTGGTAGGTCCATTGAATAGTCGAACTGGGCTGTTTTATGGAATTTGGATTGCATAGGGTTTTCCTATATTTTGAGATTTATGTTTGGTCTTAAATGTGAAGCTCCATGTACTATTTCGGTCTTAAATGTAAAAAATGTTACTTGTGTGAAGGAGATGTGCAGCGTATGTTGCTGCTTATGCTGACACGTGTCTGCTACCTACAGAAGTGAAGAATGCACCAGAATGTGACATGTGGGGCTTTGGGACAGGTGGTGGTCTCTGCATGGCTCTCTCATTTGAGTCATCTCATCACCAAATCATTATAGTAGATTTCCTATTGAAATTTGTGAGTATTTTCTTATTGAAAATTTTAACTTTGTAATTGACAAGATCAGATTACCCAAGAAGTTAATGGAAAGTTTTTTAAATTATTTTTTATGTGTAATTATTTTCTGTTGTATGATTTATTTCCTTGTGCCTCTGCCTCGATCTCCATCTCCATCTCTTCCTCAGGTTTCAAGGTTGCATCTGGACTACTTTGATTCTGGGCACAGAACCAAAACCCTGTCGGTTACAACCACAACCCAGAAAACGGGATGGAGTTTTGGCAAGTGATGTTGTTTTAACCGGCATTGGGGTGTTGATCTACTTAAAGCGCACTAACTGTTAAATATTGATATGATTGTAAACGGTTAGTGAGTTAGGTGTGCAAGGCACGTGAGTTGTTAGTAGGGTAAGTGAATTAGTTAGACAACTGTATAGAGTGTAATAGTGTTGTAGTTTAAAAGATTAAGAAATACAGTCTCTGCTTCATCATGGCTTCTTCCTCCATCAAGATTGATGGCTTGCTCAGTATGGTTACCATTCGTCTCAGTGACAACAATTTCTTGAAATGGACTCATCAACTCCCCCTCAAAAATCCCCATTTGTTTCCCAATCATACAAATGACGATCCGATTTAGTTTCCTTCATGACTTTGTCCCATTCTAGATGAACCCCTGTCTTCTTCACTCTCACAAAATCAATATCAGGCCTTACAAGAATCGATACATGGTCACCGCCTTCCAAAAGGAGCACATCGTTTGACAATTGTCCCTGCCAAAGACCATCTTTTATATGTCCATTTGAAAATTGTGCCCACCAAGGGAAAGAATATGGTTCATTGTAAGTTTTTAAGGAGGCAAATGCTATCTTGGTGTGCAAAGCAGTTTGTTTGGTAAGATTTCTAACGATAATGCCAATAGGACCATAATCTTCAACTTTTGGGTCAAAAACAAGATAAGAGTAAACGAAGCATATAGTCAACCCTTTTAAATCACGACCCATGATTCTTTGAGGAACTTCAAAGAAGACGATATTGTCCACATCATTGCCGATTTCGAACCACTCAGGAATATCATAAATTCCATTCAAATAAATTCCACCAAATCCGCAAGAAGTCCATCTCTGCACACCAGAAGCAAGACTGTCTTATACATGCATGCATATATCATTATATACATGGGCCACATCTGCAGTTGTGCCTCGGTGTTTGTGTGTGAGAGAGAGAGAGAGAGAGACAGACAGACAGACCTGTAGGATGTTGTTCCTAAAATCGGCAGTCAGATTGGTGCAACCTTCCATATGAATCCTTGTCATGGAGTTTAATGACTCATCCAAGCCTGGAACCTCAGTGAGTTTGAACGAATCACTTAGATACAATTCTCTCATATTCCACATTTTTGAAAAATCTGGAATTGTTTCCAATGCTTGACAGTAAATTGCTTCCAGAACATACAAATTCGTTGGTAAATCTGGGATTGCACGAAGTTTTCTGCATGCATTTAAACACAAGACTTTGAGCTTTGAAAGACCAGCGAGACTTGGTAGGCTACAAAAGTCATTGCCTCTAAGAAGCAGATGTTCTAAGGAAATTAGGCTACATAGATCCTTAGGGATTGCATCCTCAGTTAACCTATAGCCTGCAAGACATAATAACTCTATTAAAGAGTTTAAGCCATGTGACGAAAGGGGTAAAAGATGGAATTTCAAAATTCTCACCAGATAGAGATAAAATTCTCAACTTCTTCAATTTTACTATGGAAGATGGAATTTTTCTGATGCGTGTCTTATTTGCTTTCAGAGTTGTCAATGATACCATGTCCCCTAAGCCCTCAGCCAACTTTTTAAAACTCGAACAACCATTCAGTATAAGAGTTTCAATAGACTTGGATTTATAGAAATTCAGTGGGAGATCCTCTAGCATTTCACAGTCTTCAAGATTTACCGAAGAAAGTCTTCCAAGATACCCGATGTATGAGTGAACCTTAATCAACTTCTTACAACCTTTCAATATCAACTTCTCGAGATTTGGGAATTTTGAAAAGTCTGGTGATTTTGTCATGTCATGATCATCTTCGACATGAATGATGTCATCATCATTGACCAGATTTTGAGATGGGCGTCGTTCATACGCACAAAGATGGTAATCCATCACATTTTCGTTCATTAATTTGTCCCATACCAGACTAACACCTGTTTTCTTCACCTTCGCCCAATCATATTCGGGTATTATTTCAATCAAGACTTTATCACCGTCTTGCAATTTGAGCTCGTCATTTGATAACTGTCCCTGCCAAAGATAATAACCCTTAGTTCGACAATCGGGTATGATCCTGGCTTCAAGCTCAGTACCCTTGGTCGTATTTTTAATGCTAATGCGAAAACCAAGGCTGAACCGTTCTGAAGAGAAAGAGAAACCGAAGGACAAAGTTAACCCTTTCAAATTACGACCATCACTTTGAGGCACAGTGAAATACACAATATCATCGTCATGTACACAGTCGAACCAATCAGGAATATCATTTCCACTGAGGAAAATGCCACCATATCCGCAAGAAGTCCATCCCTATACCATGTAGAGCCAAATTTCTATAAGAAATACATTCTTATGCATGCATGTGTACATGTGCGTTGTATGTGATAGAAAAAGAAACATGTATGTGTGTGTTTGAGAGAGAGAGAGAGAGAGAGAGATATATATATTGACCTGTAGGATGTTCTTCCTAAAATCGGCAGTGAGATTAGTGCAGTTTTCCATGTGAATCCTTGTCATGGAGTTTAATGACTTATCCAGGCCTGGAATCTCAGTGAGTTTGCCCGAATCACTTAGATGCAATTCTCTTATATTTGACATTTCTGAAAAATCTGGCATTTTTTCCAATGCAACGCAGCCATCTGCTCGTAAGACTTTCAAATTTTTTGGTAAATCTGGGATTGCACGAAGATTTTTGCACTTATTTAAAGGCAAATCTTGAAGCTTTGAAAGACGACTGAGGCTTGGTAGGCTGCGAAAGTCATTGCCTGCAAGATCTAATCTTTCTAAGGAAGTTAAACTCCAGTCTGCAAGAGCTAATTCTCTTAAAGAGCTTAAACTTCGCAAGGAAGGAGGCAAACGATTTGTTGATGGCGACCCTTTCACAGAACATAAAGATACCAAAGAACAACCATTAAGTATAAGAGTTTTAATAGACTTGGATTTATAGAAATTCAGTGGGAGATCCTCTAGCATTCTGCAACCTTCAAGATTTACCAAAGAAAGTCTTCCAAGATCCCCGATGGATGGGTGAACCTCCAACAATCTCACACAGCCTTCCAATATCAATTCCTCGAGATTTGGGAGTTTTGAAAATTCTGGTGATTTTGTTAGCCAACGGGAACGACTGAGATTAAGGATTTTCAAATTCTGATGCAACTGTTACACAAAAACAAAATTAGAATGGAAATTAAAATCCAAAAGCAAGGTCTCTGATACAGAAATTAAACCATTATGAATAGAAGGTGAACTATAATATATGAATAGAACCAGAAGGAAAGAACCAACAACAACTAGGTTGAGATTATTATACCTTGCAATCCTTCCAAACTCTTTTGAGGAAGCTATCCTGCAGGTCTAAAGCAACTAGTTTTGGTTGCATAGGAAAGTCATCTGGTATGGACTCTAAAGGAAAATAATGCCAGCACAACCATATTAACTTTTTGGGAAAATCTTTGTACTCTCCAGTGAGCTCTACTCCGCTGAGGTGGAGTAACCTCAGTTTTTTCAGGTTGGCAAATGCTTGTGCACTGAATCTAGTCAAATCTAGATCCCAATGCAAATCTCGATACAGTTCCCAAAGCAAATATTTATTCCCCCGCAAATCTAGAGCAACTCCTTCAATTTCTTCTGTTCCCTGTTAACAAAAGATACCGAATTAGAAAAATGATTTACAAACATGAAAATCCGTGTATGTATTAACCAAGAGATATAATTCCTAATTGTATTGGACCATGTTAAGCCCTATAGTTAGTGTTTGCAATCAAAGCACATATTTTTTTTGGTTATGCCTAATTGAGCTTTGATCTTAATGGATATAATATAAGAAATGGCAACGGGTCTAGCGAAGTGAAAAATGGTCTCAACTTGCAGATTAAGGTCTTAGGTTCAAATTCATATGGCACCTTGGTAGTGTGGATTTGTGAGAACCCCCTCTTTGGTTTAGACTATCGCTTGTACTAAACAAAAATAAAGAAAGAAATGGAAACTGACATTTTAATTTATTATAGACACAGGATACATATGCTTCTGTTGCATGATGCATTTCTAAAACTTTACTAGGAAAGTACTTACAGATTTATCGTTCAATACATCTTTTACGTCTTCACGTTTCCACAATCTACTAAAATTTTCAGGACTACCGGTGGATTTTTCACGAACGATCTCTCTTCCCATGTCTCGAAGCAAATCATGCATCATCAGCTTGTTTTGCTCACTAACAGTTACAAGGCACCGTTCAATGAGGACACTGATTCCTATCACTGCAGAGAAGCCACATCCATCTAATATTTGTGTTACATAGTCCCTGTCCATTCCTATACAGAAACAAGATATATCAAGGAATATCTCTCTCTTTTTAGGATCAGGTAGCCCGTCATAGCTTATTCTGAGTATTTTTTGAATATCTTCATCAGGACTTCTTTCCAATTGCTCCAAATGGCTTTCCCACTCCTCTATGGATCTTTCAATCAGAAAAGACCCTACAACTCGATGTGCTAGTGGCAAGCCTTGACAGTAACGAATTACACGTTTTGAGAGGTCAAGGTATTCTTGATCAGGACAATCTATTTTGAAGGCATGCCTACTAAAGAGCTCTAGAGCTTCTTCCTCATCCATTTCTTGAGCCATATATGTGCTATCCACTCCAACTTGCTGTAGCAAATGTTTATTTCTTGTTGTTATGACAATTCTACTTCCAGGACCAAACCAATCACGAGCTCCAGCTATTGCTTTTAGTTGCTGTAGATCATCAGCATCGTCAATTATGACAAGTACTCTTTTACAGCAAAGTCTTTCTATTATCATATTGATCCCTTTAGCAACAGATCCAACCTTTATGCCCTCGTTTTTCAAGATATCATTTAGAAGTTGTTCTTGCAAACCAACCAGACCATTACTACGATGGTTTGCAAATACTTCCCTCACGTCTGCAAGAAAACTCCTACGACCTTCAAAGAAACGTTCAAATTTGTTATAAATGGTTTTGGCAAGCGTTGTTTTTCCAATGCCGCCCATCCCCAAAATACCAATCATGCGAACAACATCCTTAGAACCTGAATTTTTGATATCCAAGTGATTACTCAAAACCTCCATCCGAGAAGTAATTCCAACAAGGTGTTCGATGTATAATTGGTGTTTTCTGTTCACCAAGCTATTAATCACCCCAAGAATTTTCTCGATAAACTTTGCTTCATTCCTGGCAATTAAACACAGAAGCAGAACAAACTACAAGGTTAAATTGAATCCCTAACTTAATAATTTAGAATTAAGATATAATTAACAATTAAGATTGGGATTTAACATCAAATGATAAATGGATCTTACATTATCAAACCAAACCAAACAAACAAACACCAAAGTTCAAAGTAAAAAAGAAAACATTGTTGGAAAAACAAAAACAAAAACAAAAAGGACAGAAAACATATGGTTGTCAAGTAAGGAGATGATAATCCAAGGAACGAGATATTAGTAATTACCCATTGTCAGCATTTTTAAGATCTTCCCCACACAAATCTGCTGCTTGACTGAGAGCATTCCTCCATCGCTGTACCTTTTCTTTCTCATGTTTGCCCGCTTCATGTTTCTCAAAAGCTTCTGCAAAACTACCAGTCTGTTTCCGGACATCTGAAGCCTCAACATTATAGAACAATGGAATAACCTGTTGCCCCAATCGTTCTCTACACTCCATGATCTTCACCAGCTCGTCAAGACACCAACTGGAATCGGCATAACGCTGGGAGAAGACAATTATGGAGATCATGGACTTGTCGATTGCCTGCTCCAGTTGGGTTTTTATAAATTCCGCTCTTTCTAGCTCGTTGTCGTCAAGAAAGGAGCGGATTCCGGCATTAGATAATGCGGCGTGGAGGTGGCCTGTGAAGCCCTTGCGTGTGTCTTCACCTCTGAAGCTCAAGAACACTTGGTACTCCCAACGTTTTGATGAGGAGGATGGTGAGGATGAAGAGGAGCCTTTATGGGCTTTCCTGGCATCCATTAATTGATACTGGTTCAGATCAGACCAACTACAAATTATGCACAAGTTGGCCTTCCGATCCGACTTGAGCAGAAGAAGTTATTTTTTTTCTGGGGAGTGGTTTGGCCTTGAGCTTATTGAACGTTTCAGTCAACAGAAGCAAAAGTCCCTACGTTCCTGCCAACATGTCATTGACGCGGAGAGAGGCAGAGAGAGCGTGGAAGGTCAGTGTGAACAGAGGGTAATTTTCTGGAAGCAACCAAAACCAGGGGTCACTTTCTGTGGCTGCTGGCTACACGATCTGCTGGACGGCTAAGATTGAAGGTCAGGAAAATGCAAGGAAGCTTAGTGGAAATGAAATTCCCTAGAATGGCCAACTGATCTGTTTCTTAATACTCAAACACCACGACAGGATTGAAATACTGTAACAATCCTGTAAGCAAAAATTCCAGAATACGCAGCAGAATAAATTCAAATAAAAACGCAAACAATTGCACAAGGGACACACGATATGTTGACGCAGTAAAAAACCTCAAGATGAGGAAAACAACTGCGGGCACTATGCCGGAGAACAAATCACTATGAGAAAGAATACAAAAAGGTCTTACAAGTCTCAACTCACAAGACTAACGCTCACAAGGCAGACTTGCCTACTCGCCTTTGCTACTCAACCCAACCAGCGATCTTGTCTTCCTTCGTCAACAAGAGATGGCACAACTCTAGTCTCGGTTGCTCACACCTCAAGGCACGATTGTTGATCACCAACATGCATAATGCTCATGAACTCACACATATATGAAAAGATGATTATTTAATCACTCATGAAGGCTAACAAGGAACAGCCACATGAGTTTTCAATATGAACTCTCAAAAACCTCTCTGCAAATATTTTGTCGTTCTTCTTTTACACGCTTAAAACTAGGTCAGAGACCAAAAAAGGCTTTTAGCAAAAATGGGCTTTTTAACAAATAAAATATTTCTTTAAAACAAATAAAGCCACTTAATTAAAAACCCAGCCGTAAAGACAAAAGAGCCCTTTTGCTAAAGAATATAAAACCATCGTTAAAAACTCATTGATGTCTGGCACTGGATTATATAAGACTGAAATCATATATCAGTCATGTACATCTTACAGCCACTTTTGATGATCAAGCAAATATGAAAATATGAATGCATGGATGCAAAACATACCTTGGCATTGTCTCTGAGCCACACTGATCCAGGATAGCAGAATGTCACTTGAAAACTGTAGGTTACACTCAAAGACCTACTCTATGTTTTTGTAACAGGAAATTGCCAATATACCAAAAATTGGTCCTAACAATCTCCCCCTTTGGCATTTCCTATACAAAAACTCTAGTTACAAAAATTGGTCCTAACAATCTCCCCCTAAACCAAGTACAAGTGAGTGAAAAGAATTCCTCAAACATAACCACTTGCAATAGAAAAGGTAACCTGAATTCTGCACCACTAAACCAAAAAATAACCAGTGAAAAGCATGTATGGTTGAAAAGACAATATGTCAAAATAAAACTCAGAATGTTTACTCCCCCTTTTTTGGATAGGTAATGGCAAACTCCCCCTCAAAGAAATAACCACTTGCACATCAAACAACCACTCCCAGGAAGAACAATGTAGGCAAAAGTTCCAAATTATGAAATCTCCCATGAATGTATGAAAAGATACATGTAATGACGAAGGAGCAAGAAGGCACACAAGATGAAAATTTTTATTTTTATTTTATTTTTTATTTTTTATCAAACCAGTGTCACAAACGAGATTTCTAAGCAAAGCTTGTAAGGAGATATCAAGTCAAAATTGAAGAGTAACAATGAGAACCCACAGCATCAAGTGTTGTGAAATATCTCTCCATGTTAGGCAACACCATATAATCAAGGTTAGCAAAAATTCACAAGGGTCCTTGGTGTGAAAAGTGAACCAATAGAGAGATAGGAATGACAATGCATACAAATGGTATTCAACAGATTCACAATTGTGCTGTATATATATTTTTTCTTTATGGAGCACGGTCCACAACTTTATTAAGCTTTCAAGTGACTTGTAACAAGTCTTAGGCCAGATGCTCCCAAGCCAGAGGACTTTAGGGCACTAAGTATATCAAGGATACTCCATGGGCTTAGCAACTCGAAGTTCAAAAGGCTTCAAAGTTTTGTTTTTTTTTAAATATGGACCAAGCCATCCCGTATTCGACGCGACCCTCGACACTGGTTAGGTAAGAGGTTTGGCTACTTTGGGAGAACCTGAGTCAAGCTCCAAAGATATCTATCATTGTCGTTTAAAGTGAAATCTTGCAACAAAGGCATTCATAACTCATATTGGTGTGCGTGTGCAAGAACCAAGGAAATGCTGTGAAAATGCCAAGCAAAGATTAATGCCAGAGACTAACATAGAAAAATATTTGCCAACTAAGAGCATGTGTCTCACAGTTAGTCCCATACTCAGACTAGAAAACCCAATCTTAGTTCAAAGAAATACAAGCTTATGACAATGGGATTGAAAATGCAATGCAATGATATACTACAAGGCTACAAAAAATAAAACCGAAGGAAAAAAAAATAATAATAATAACAGAAACTAAGAAACCTATTCGACATGGGCATACAACAATGAAATGTGAATGCAAAAAAAATTAGAGGGAGTTCATTCAATGGAACAAATACCAAGAGACTTCCTGAGAGCTTCAAAACGAACAGTGTCTAATGGTTTTGTAAACAAATCAGCCAATTGTTTTTCTGTGCAAACAAACTCAAGACTTACCACCTTTTCTTCAACCAATTCACGAATAAAATGATGCCTAATATCTATGTGTTTTGTTCGTGAGTGTTGAACCGGATTTTTGGAAATATTTATTGCACTCAGATTATCACAAAAAAGAGTTGAAGTACCTTGATGAATGCCGTAATCACTCATCATTTGCTTCATCCATAGTAGTTGTGTGCAACAACTTCCAGCAGCAATGTATTCCGCTTCGGCTGTAGACAAGGAAACACAAGCTTGCTTTTTGCTATGCCAAGACACAAGATTATTACCTACATAAAAGCACCCTCCAGATGTGCTCTTCCTATCATCAACGTTTCCAGCCCAATCGGCATCGGTGTAACCTGCAATTTCAGAATTTGAGTCAAATGAATAATATACACCTAAAGTTGGAGTACCACTTACATATCTGATGATTCTCTTGACTGCATTCAAGTGAGACTCCTTTGGATTTGCCTGAAAGCGAGCGCACACACCAACACTGAATGAGATGTCGGGTCGACTGGCTGTTAAATATAAGAGGCTTCCAATCATGCTTCTGTAAAGTGTTTGTTCTACACATTTTCCAGAAGGGTCAGCATCAATTTTGTTGTGTGTAGCCATGGGATTCCTTGTTGGTTTGGCAGAACTCATACCAAACTTTTTTACCAAGTCTTTTGCATACTTGGTTTGAGAAATGAAGATACCATGATCTTGTTGCTTGACTTGCAGGCCTAGGAAATAGCTCAGCTCCCCACACATACTCATCTCAAATTCGCTGCTCATAACTTCAGTAAATTCTTTTACAAGAAATTCAGATGTAGACCCAAAAACAATATCGTCGACATAAACCTGAGCAACAATCAAGTCCTTGTTGGTCTTTTTGACAAACAGAGTTTTGTCAACAGCTCCTCTGACATACCCTTTATTCAGCAAATGGGATGACAACCGATCATACCAAGCCCTAGGAGCTTGCTTCAGCCCATAGAGAGCTTTTCTAAGACGATATACATGATCAGGATTGTAAGGATCTTTGAATCCTACAGGTTGTTCTACATATACCTCCTCCTGTAAAACCCCATTTAGGAACGCACTTTTCACATCCATCTGGTGTAGTTTGAACCTCATATGACAAGCTATAGCTAAAAGCAATCTAACTGATTCAAGCCTTGCCACGGGAGCGAAAGTTTCATCAAAATCCAACCCTTCAACCTGGGAATATCCCTGTGCAACCAACCTTGCTTTATTTCTTGTAATAACACCATTTTCATCAGTTTTGTTCCTGAAAACCCATTTTGTACCTATCACATTCAAGTCCTTGGGACGTGGAACCAAGTACCACACATCATTTCTAGTGAACTGGTCTAACTCCTCTTGCATAGCCATGATCCAATCACAATCAAGAAGTGCTTCTTTTGAATTTTTTGGTTCCAATTTGGAAACATAGCACAGATGAGTTACCTCCGCAACGACTTGGCTTCTTGTCTTTCTTTGATCATTTAAATCTCCAATAATATCAGATGGTGTGTGGTCTTTTTGGACTTGCCGAGCACCAGGTCTAAGAGGAGGTGAAAACATATCTTCTTCTGCATGCACTTCATCATTAATGTTAGCCACCTTGTCCTTTTCTTCTTGCCTAGGAGCTGCTGGAATAATATCCTCATCATCATCTGCACAAGAACCAAATGACATATCAGTATCATTGACAACAACATTAATTGATTCCATTACCGTACATGTCCTCTTGTTAAACACCCTATAAGCCCTGCTAGTGAGAGAATAACCCAAAAAGATGCCAGCATCACTTCTTGTATCAAACTTTGCTAGGTTTTCTCTATCTCTATAAATATAGCAGACGCTCCCAAAAACCCTCATGTGCTTTATGTTAGGTTTTCTCCCTTTCCAAAGCTCATAAGGAGTTGAAGTTGTGCCCGGTCTAAGAAATACACGATTTGCTGTATAACATGCTGTGCTAATAGCTTCTGCCCAAAATTTCTTCGCTATCTTAGCACTTGTCAAGATCACACGTCCCATTTCAAGCAAGGTGCGATTCTTCCTCTCAACCACCCCATTATGTTGAGGTGTAATAGGTGCTGAAAATTCGTGCTTTATTCCTTTCTCTTCACAATATTCAGCAAAGCTTACATTTTCAAACTCTGTTCCATGGTCTGTTCGAAGTCTCATGACAGTAACATGTGAACCATTTTTCTCGATCTGAATTTTGTTGCATAGGCCACGAAAACTCTTGAATGCATCAGATTTTTCACGAAGAAAATCAACCCAAGTAAACCGAGTAAAGTCATCCACCAACACCAACATATACTTCTTTCCACCTATGCTCTCAGTCTGAATGGGACCAACTAAATCCATATGCAGCAAATCTAATGGTTGGGATGTTGATATGTAGGATATGCTTTTGTGAGCACTCTTGACTTGCTTACCTAATTGGCACGCACCACACACTCCTGCAGACTTACCACTCAGCTTTGGCAGACCTCTGACACACTCATTCTTGGACAGCTTCAAGAGATCACGAAAGTTGATATGACCAAGTCTTCTATGCCACAGTTCCATCACGTCATCAGTAGCGCGATGCACACAAGACTTTTGTTCTCATTCACCTGAATACAATAGCAATTATCTTTGGATCTCATGCCACTCATAACCTTCTTCCCTTGAAAATCAGCAACATAACATTGATCTTTATCAAACCACACGCTGCTACCATCATCACAAAGTTGACTGATGCTTATCAAATTTGCCTGCAAATTTTCCACCAACATGACATTTTTCAAGAATGGTAAGCCAAGTGTCTCAACATCTCCTTTCCCTAAAATTTTACCTTTACTTCCATCTCCAAATGTCACAGAGCCTTCCACACACTCTGTATTCAGATTTGTAAACCAACATTTATCACCAGACATATGTCTTGAACAACCACTATCGAAATACCATGTATCAGATTTTCTAGCAGATAAGGCCATTAAAGTCACCAAGCACTTTTCCTCCTTTTTTTTCCACACTAGTTTGGTTCTTTGAGATGGATTAAAATTTCTTGGAGAATAGTAGTAAGCTGACCTCTTCTCCTTTCTAAGCACATTGCATCTAGGCCGTATATGACCAAAAACTCCACAAAAATGACAGATCGGTATAAATTTCTTTGGGCTAACCTTCGCTTCAGTAGAAGAGAATTCTTTGATGAATTTCACAGCTTTGACCTCTTGCTTAGACTTTTCACTTTCAAAACCCAAACCTCTCGTATCACCAGCCCTTTTCCCCAGACTTAACATCCTGTCAATCTTCTCTGCACCAATGGTCATACCAAATATTTTTTCCGTTGCTAATTTTAATTCAGCACTAGCATGGTCCCTTTCGAAAGTAAGAGAAACATTCATATCTTTCTGCAGCTGGTACTTGTCTTGGAGCATCTGAATTTTTTCAAGCAAAGACCCACGCAGATTTTCTTCTGTTTTCAGCTGGGATTGAAAGGCAGCTTCAGTCCTGGTCAGTTCGTCTTGTAGAAAAGCCACTTGATCAACAAGCTCTGCATTTTTCTTCTTCAGTTTTTCAGAGGAATCATAGAGATTGTTGAATTGCTTCATCACCACTTCTATCTCAGGTTCTTCAACATCAGAGTTCTCATCCTTTTGCGCATGAATTCTCCCAGAGAAAGCAACAACTTGATCTTCATTTTCTGAATTTGAATCATTATCAGACTCACTATCACTCCAAGTTGCTGCCATTACTTTATTTTTCCCACTATTTTGCTTCCTCAAATTATTTGCGCATTCAGAGGCAAAGTGTCCATATCCACCACATTCAAAGCATTTCAGTGAATCTTTAGAGCCCTTTCTCTCCATAGTTCTGGTTGTATGTGATAACTTGTCAGAAGTAAACTCACGTGGGCGACTCCCTCTTGTACTTGAACCTGAATTTCCTCTTTGTTCACCAGACCTTGAATTCTTAGATTTCAAAAACTTACGAAATTGTTTTGTAAGCAAAGCATAATCCATTTTGTCTTCTGACACACTGTCACTCTCATCTTCTTTCACTGTATTTAGAGCAATGCCCTTGCTTTTCTTTATTTCTGGAAATTCCATCTCATAGGTGGTAAGAGAACCAATTAACTCAGTAAGTTTATAAGTGTTCAAATTCTTACACTCTTCAATCGCTGTCTTCTTGGCGTGATACATCATAGGCAGAGATCTCAAAATCTTTTTCACTATTCTGTGTTCAGGAATTGCATCACCAAGGTTGCTGCAAGCATTCACCACCACACTCAATCTAGCGTAAAATTCAGCAAATTTTTCAGTTTCCAGCATCTTCAAATTTTCAAACTTAGTCATCAGTTGTTGAAGTTTGGATTCTCTGACAGTGGCATTTCCTTCATGAGTAATTTCCAGAATATCCCAAGCCTCCTTTGAGGTTTTGCAATGACATATAAACTCAAATTTTTCAGCTGATACCGCAGTGAAGATGGAGTTAAGACCTTTTTGATTGTAGGCACTCATATCGTTTTCTTCATCAGTCCACTCTGTATTTTGCTTAATTACAACCTTTGTTGTCGACTGGCCTTCACCTTCAACCTCTTTTCCACGCCCTTTAATTTCCTTTGTTGGAGGTTCCCAACCATTCTCAATAGTTGTCCACACCTTTGTACCTTGAGCCCACAGAAAAGATTTCATCTTAGCTTTCCAAGCCCCATAGTTAGTATTCTCATCAAGAAACGGAGGATGAGTCACAGACCCACATGCACGATCCATTCTAGCACAGCCCAACGATCTCACTAAGCACGTCTAGTGACCAGCTCTGATGCCAAATGAAATTCCCTAGAATGGCCAACTGATCTGTTTCTTAATACTCAAACACCACGACAGGATTGAAATACTGTAACAATCCTGTAAGCAAAAATTCCAGAATACGCAGCAGAATAAATTCAAATAAAAACGCAAACAATTGCACAAGGGACACACGATATGTTGACGCAGTAAAAAACCTCAAGATGAGGAAAACAACTGCGGGCACTATGCCGGAGAACAAATCACTATGAGAAAGAATACAAAAAGGTCTTACAAGTCTCAACTCACAAGACTAACGCTCACAAGGCAGACTTGCCTACTCGCCTTTGCTACTCAACCCAACCAGCGATCTTGTCTTCCTTCGTCAACAAGAGATGGCACAACTCTAGTCTCGGCTGCTCACACCTCAAGGCACGATTGTTGATCACCAACATGCATAATGCTCATGAACTCACACATATATGAAAAGATGATTATTTAATCACTCATGAAGGCTAACAAGGAACAACCACATGAGTTTTCAATATGAACTCTCAAAAACCTCTCTGCAAATATTTTGTCGTTCTTCTTTTTCAATGTTGCAGACACACCAACAAAAAGGCTAAGTTCCTTTCTTTTATTACACGCTTAAAACTAGGTCAGAGACCAAAAAAGGCTTTTAGCAAAAATGGGCTTTTTAACAAATAAAATATTTCTTTAAAACAAATAAAGCCACTTAATTAAAAACCCAGCCGTAAAGACAAAAGAGCCCTTTTGCTAAAGAATATAAAACCATCGTTAAAAACTCATTGATGTCTGGCACTGGATTATATAAGACTGAAATCATATATCAGTCATGTACATCTTACAGCCACTTTTGATGATCAAGCAAATATGAAAATATGAATGCATGGATGCAAAACATACCTTGGCATTGTCTCTGAGCCACACTGATCCAGGATAGCAGAATGTCACTTGAAAACTGTAGGTTACACTCAAAGACCTACTCTATGTTTTTGTAACAGGAAATTGCCAATATACCAAAAATTGGTCCTAACAAAGAGGCATGAATAGAGAGGGAAGAGACGAGCTCAATGCCTCGTAGCTGCAAACTTACACATTACAGTGCTCACTGGGCTCCAGATTCATCCTCCTCACAATAATTTCGACACGTGAGCATCCCAAGTTCCAACAAAGGCTGAGGACCAAAACTACCAGATCTCAAGTGCACCAAATTGCCATGCAACATAAGCTCAAGTCAACTTCTAACACCTGTCATGTCATGGACAATGGAAGAGGAAATTCTACAGTAATATACAAGAAATTATTGAGTGGTATTACGAAACTATTAAGAGCATTTTCACCAGTTAGCCCTTTGCCATGGCAAGGGGAGCCTTAGGGCAGCTACTATTCACGTGAATAGTGGCCCTAGCACCAAAAAAAAAAAAAAAAAAAAAAAAAAAAAAAATAGTGTTCTAACAGTGCAAGGTGTTGAGCCCAAAAAAGTCCACGGTTGGGCCCAAATAAATTTTCGATCCAATACGCTACTATATTAAGAAAAGTCACATATCTGAGTACACGAAGGCTCGTCATATGCGAGTCACACCACACGCGCCATGCCAAATAAATAATTCGTCATGTTAGGAATCGAGATTAAGATTATAACATGCATTATCTTTGCAAATCCATGCTAATTATCCCGTGAGGCATAATAATTGAAAGTATGCCAAACGATATGCCATGTCAAGCGACATGCCATGTCAAGTAGGAAATCATTATTACACACCCAACCACGCTACAAGCCTAAGTGGGCCCAAGCCACTCGAATGCTCGGGGCTTGCTTGAGTGGGTTGTGGTATGGATGGTAATAAATCAACATGAGGCTCATTGATGGGCCGAGAAATGGAAAGTCTCGGGTTGCTTGGGAGCCTCGAGACTCAAGCTCATTTCTTAGGCCCAAACATGTAGGTGAGCACAAGAGAGTTGTAGGGGCTTTTTTTCTTCCGGCAGCTACTACGGGTCTGACTGCCGTAAAGGGCAAAATGAAAGAAATTGCCCCTTGAGCCTGAGTTCGAAAATTAAGCCCCAAAATACCTCGAAAAGGCAGTAGAGCCTTAGGAAGTATTTTGGTTATCTTCACCAACCAAAATAATGGTAGCTTACAGGTAATTTCTTCATGCTTACAGATAAACTTTTGAGTTTGGCATGAGGGGCTTGTGGCATGGGAGCAAAATTAGCATGAATTGAGCACCAAAAAGGAAATATGGCTTCCTAGGGAGAAAAGGGAGTCTTTAAGGTGAGGAAGAAGAGGTTTTCAAGCATATGTGGCTAGGAAGAGAAAAGGGAAGAACTATGTTCTTCTGGAAGCTTGTCAGAAGAAGAAAATGGAGGAAGATGAACAGTGCACGAAATTGCTGGTTTTTGCAAGTATGAGAGGAAGCTTGCTCTCTAGTTGTGGATGATTTTTGTTGGGTAGAAGAGGCCCTAATTTATAGCCGCTGGAAGCTGATATTTTCCAAGAAAACCTAATGGCTTCTACCCATTTTGGCTAAGCTTTTCCTTCCTTTCTCCCTTCATCTCTTCAATCATCTCTTTTTGGTGAAATCCACTCTACCCATTTGCATAAAATCAGGGATTTTTTGGGAGCCCAAAGCCCCCTTTCCTGCGGCTGTTTCAGACTTCTATTTTCAGCCATCTTTCTTCCTTCTTTTCTCTCCTTTTCCAAGGCTAGGTCTGATGAGGGAAGGAATGGGTATGCATGCTGGTTCAAATGGTAATCTGCGCTCCAATATCCCTTGGTCATTTGGAAGTTTTTGCTTGAAACTTGTTTCTCCCATGTGCTGGAGCTTTCCAGCAGCTTTCACACATGGATATTTTGGCTTTCAACGTGGCTTTTGTTTTCAGCTAGGTGCTGAAGATTTGCAGATATATTTTTTTGGGTTGCTTGGGCCTTCTATGACAATAAGTTGGTTTATCAAGTACATGGGCTAACTTCATCAAGTATTGGGCTAGTTTGGTTGAAGTGATGGGCTATTTTGGTTGGAGTAATGGGCTATTTTGGTTGGGCTACTTTCTCTTTTGTGCTCACCCACATGTTTGGGCCTAAGAAATGGGCTTGGGTTCCGAGGCTCCCAAGTAACCCGGAACCTCCACTTCTTGGTCCATCAATGGGCCTCATGACAATTTATTACCATCCATACCACAACCCACTCAAGCAAGCCCCGGGTATTTGAGTGGCTTGGGGCCCACTTAAGCTTGTGGCGTGATTAGGTGCGGAATGATAATTCCTTGCTTAGCGTGGCGTGTCGTTTGGCGTGGCATGTGTGCAAGCGCATATGATGAACTTTCGCATGCCCAAATCGGGTTTCTTCTTGGTAAAGCATCGCATTGGGCCGAGAATTTATTTGGGCCGAACCGTGAATATTTTGGGCCTCAACAAGAGTAAAGTAGCCCAATAGCCCAAGCAAAATAACCTAACCAAAAATAAGCCCAATCAAAATTGCCTATTAACTCAACCAAAAAGCCCAAACGTTTTAGATAGCTCACTTGCTTGATAAACCATCTTAGCCCATACAATTACCATAATAAGCTACAAAGGCACTAGCACCTAACTGGAGGAACAAAAGCCACGAAGGGGAGGTCTGGAGGTTCATTAAACAATGCTGCTGGAGGTTATAGCACATGGAGGGAGCAGATTCCAAGCAAGAAACATTCAAAGTACCAAAGAATATTAGCCTGCGAGCTGCCAGAAGCACCCTTTGAACCAGCATGTATATTCAATTCATTCCCTCATCAGACCTAGCCTTGGAAGAGGAGAGAAAAGAAGGAAGAAATATGGCTAAAAATAGGAGTCTGAAACAGCCGCGGGAAAAGGGGCCTTGAGCTCCAAAAAATCTCTGATTTTGTGCAAATGTGCAGAGAAGATTTCACCAAAAAAGGATGATTGAATGGATGAAGGGAGAAAGGAAGGGAAAGACTTGACAAAATGGGATGGAAACCATTAGAGTTTCTTGGAAAATGTCAGCTTCCAGCGGCTATAAATTGAGGCCTTTTCTACCCAATGGAAGCAACCCACATCTAGAGAGCAAGCCTCATCTCTCACCATGAAATCTCTGTAATTTCGTGCCCTATTCCTCCATCTCCTCCCACTTTCCATTCTGCCATGCCATTCTAGAGTCTGACATAGCTTTTGTCAGGCTGTTGGAAACTTACCCAAACTACCAAATACTTCACCATTAGCCACAACTCAGAACTAGAGAGCAAGCTTCCTCTCATACTTGCAAAAACCAGCAATTTCGTACACTGTTCATCTTCCTCCATTTTCTTCTTCTGACAAGCTGCCAGAAGAACATAGTTCTTCCATTTTCTTTTCCTAGCCACATATGCTTGAAAACCTCTTCTTCCTCACCTTAAACACTCCCATTTCTCCCTAAGAAGCCATATTTCCTTTTTGGTGCTCGACTCATGCTAATTTTGCTCCCATGCCACAAGCCACTCATGCCAAGCTCAAAAGTTTATCTGTAAGCATGCATAAATTATCTGTAAGTTGTTGTTGTTTTAGTCGGTGAAGGTAACCAAGATGCTTCCTAAGGCTCTACTGCCCTTTCGAAGCATTTTTGGGGCTTAATTTTTGATCTCAGACATAGGGAACGATTTCTTCAGTTTCCTCCTTACGGTAGCCCAGCCCATTTGTAGCTGCCGGAAGAAAAAAAGCCCCTACACAAGGCTTGCCATGGCAAATACTATTCATTTTTTTGTTTTTTTCACAACTTTGTTTACTTAAACAATTAATTTGGATAATATTTTCGGATAAGATTTTTGGGTTCCTACGTGTCAATACTATTCATATCGGATCAGATTTTCGGTTTCAAATTCCAGATAAATTTCAAATTTCAGATACATTTCAAAATTCAAATTCCATATAAATTTCAAATTTCAAATTTCATGTGAATTTCAAATTTCAGATAAGATTTTCACCCTCTAAAATTGCGCCACGTGTCATCTCTATCTGCCTAAATTTTTCTATAAAAGCAGAGGCTCAGCTCATACCTCTCACTACATATCTTCTCTACATCTTCATTTCTCATATTTTAGATTTGATTTCTCATATTTTAGATTTTATTCTGCATTCTCAATGTCAGACGACATGGAAGAGGTTTTGGAGAGGCAAGAGCGAGAAAGGCGAGTAAGAATGCGTAGAAGAGCTGCAAGCAAAAGGGCACAGAGAGATTTAAATGAGCAACTTGGTGTGGCCGTTGCTTTGCTGGAGGAAGAAAACCAAAGCCGCAGTGGTTCACGAGAAGGCCGGGCACCGAATGTGGACAGACATAGACATTCTCGGGGTAAGAATATGATGGAAGATTATTTTATCCCACAATGTCTGTACTCTGATGCTCATTTTCAATCTTTCCTTGGTGTACATACTCCCTTTCTTTTGCATATTCTACTTCCATTGCCCTATCGTGCCCTTGTTGTTTCATATCCATTTCAATTCTCATGGCTTGCATCTTTGAAAGCTCCTCCAAATATTTAGATGTATTCTTGGTAGAATTACTCCCTCTCTTCGCCTTCGCCGCCTTCCTCCCAATAGGCCTCGGCTCTTTTTCGATAGGTGAGTCTTGACTCATCGGAGAATCCATAGGTGAATCCGATGCTGATGTCTCATGGAGTGGCATCTCGTTCAATACTATCATTGGACCCGTTGGAATAATTTGGAATCTCTTACAATTCTTCACCACCTCCCAACATATGGTATGGTTGAAACTTTTTTTCCCTTGCCCAGTAGCACCAAAAAACATTTGTGCTTGCATAATCTATACCAAAAAAAGGCAAGAAAAAAAAATATTGGCAATGCAACAAGTATAAAAAAAAATGGAAATACAAGAAACTTAAAAAAATATTGGCAATGCAACAAGTATTAAAAAAAATAATGGAAACACAAGAAACTTTAACCATTTATTAGAAATGCAAAACAAAATATAAATATTGCAAGAAACATTCATATTAATATTGGAAATACAAGAAATATTAACATAATATATAAATTGCAAGAAATATTTAAATAAAATTTAATATGACATAGAAATTAATAAAACAAATAATTACAAATAATTTACCTCACTGCTAAGGTTTTCCCCACTTCTATGGTTGTTCATCGCTTTTGTCAAGGCATCTCTTCATTTTCCCATCTCTTTATTAAGAATTTTCCACCTACTAGATAATGCTTGATCCGTACGGGTCGAACCAATTACCATTTCACAAAATTCCTGATGAGTTTTTTTCCACATATAACAGAATTTGATCTCATTGCCCGTTTCGGGACAATGACTAACTTGGAGCCAAGCCTCACACAAGCTAATATCTTCCGTCATGCTCCATGCCCCTTCTCCGGTTTCACTAGAAGAACCCATAATATGATAGAGAAAAAAACAACTTGAAAGTGAAAAAATTGAGTAGAAAGTGAAAAATAGTAGAAGGAGAAGAAAATGTATGAGGAGTTGGTGTTAAAAGTGAAGAGTATTGGTTGGTATTTATAGAAAAAAAAAATTCAGTATTTTTTTTAAATTTTTTCCTTTTTTTTTATTGGGTAAAAAATTGCATGCCATTAGATTGCTTGAAAAAAAGGATCGGAGAGCCCAGAAGCTTCCACGTGGCAGAGAGCTGTTGGGGGTTGCTTTTTCGATTTTTTTATTCGCGAAAAAATGGCCGTCGTTGGATATGTTTAAAAAGTTGATCGGATAGCCCAAAAGAAGACACGTGCAAGAGAGCCGTTGGGCGGGCACTGTAGCGGCACATCAATTTTTTTTTTTAAGTTGGCGCGTGCATTGCACTCGCCAACGTTAAAAAAATTTAAACTCCAGCGATGACGTCATCGTGACGTCAGCGCGATGACGTCAGCACAGCCTGCGGGCCAGCGCTCGGGCCAACCCAGGTATGTGGGCCCCACTGCTTGCCCTGGCAGCTCCTTGTTGCTGGAAACACATTTTTTGGTTTGCCCCCCCCCCCCCCCCCCCCCCCCCCCCCCCCCCGCACAGCCTGCGGGCTAGCGCTCGGGCCAGCCCAGGTATGTGGGCCCCACTGCTTGTCCTGACAGCTCCTTGTTGCTGGAAACCACATTTTGGGTTCCCCCCCCAACCCTCCTCTTGGGCCCCTTGCTGCCAATGCTCTAAGGGATGTTATTATTCGAAGTGTTACCGTATATTATGTCTATTATTGAACAGCGCAGATGAATATATGTATATTATTGAACTACCCAAAGTCAAGGTCAAGTTAAAGTTTCTAATGTTTCTAATGTTTTCAAAAAGAAAAAAAAATAGTTTCCAATATCAGCTGACACGAATTTCAGGCTGATCAGATTTTTTTTAAATTATGTCTACAATGTTTCTATCCTTTGCAGAGGTTTGCAAGTCATCCTTCTAGCAGAAAAAGAAGAAAAAAAAACAGATGTACCTTTCCCTACTCGGGTGGGTCAGGGGTGGGCTAAATGCTATTTTGGGTTGAAAAGAAGAAAAGTCACCTAGCTCTAATTAGTTCCCTGCTGGGTCCGTTCCTGAGCAGAAGTTGAGAGGGAAAGGGAAGGTCTGGGAGGGTAAAGAAGGGGGGAATAGGAGGAGGAGAGGGATGGAAAGTCGCCCACCCCAAAAGAGAACGACGGTTGATTTATTTTTTATTTATTTATTTTTCCCTCTAGTTGGGTATATTGGTTTTTGGGTTTTAAAATGCAATAAAATATTGTATAACACACCGCATGTATCATGATTCATGCTTCATGACGAGGACAAGTGATAAGATAAGCAAGGTGAGATTTGGAGTTGGAGTGGCCCATTTATTTATTAAACCACTTTGTGAGGTTGCTTTTTTATAATAATAGTCATTTGGAGTTGGCGTGTCCCATTTTTTAGGGTTAAATACTTTTTTTTAGTCATTGAGTTTTACACGAAAATGCAATTTAATAGTTGAGAAAAAATTTAGCCAAATTAGTCGTTGTATTTTTCAAGTTTACAATTTATAGACATTATGTTATCTTTCGTTAAGTGTAGCTTTTATTTTTATTTTTTTAGGAAGTACCTCGAGTCTTCTTCCTCTAATTGCACTTAATGGAAGATAAAGGAATATCTATAAATTATACACTTTGAAAAATACAGTGATAAATTTGACTAAATTATTTTCTGAGTGATGAAATTGAATTTTCGTATAAAATTCATTAATAAAAAAGATATTTAACCCATAATAATAAGATTACGACCCGTGCCCCTCTTACCAAGTTACCAGGGCTTATCACGCATAGGCTGGAAGCATTGACCAATAAAAAAAAATTGTCAAATATGGAGGCAAAAGGCAAATCTGAGAGAGATCAGCTGTCCCTTTATGGGTTTTTTTTATTTAAAAAAAAGGATCGAGGCAATAAAATAATTAAATCAGAGTTGTTTTAACCAAAAGTGGCATTGAATAAAATGCAATCCAAAACCCAACGAACATATATTAAATATTTTTGTCAATATCTAACAACTAGCTAGCCTCACCTACTTCACCACACACTGAATAGGCAATATATATATAGTCAAAAGTTTATTTTTGGTCCATGGAGTTTGTCGATTTTATCATTCTGATCCATGTAGTTTTAATTTTGTCAAATTTATCTTTCTTGTTTCAATTTGAAACCATTCAAAGAAATTTTTTAATTTTTATCAAAATTTTGCAGATTCTTTTAAGTTTTGACCACGTGTCCCTCACATAGAAGGGTATTTCAGTTCGCTCAAGTCATTCGGTGTTAAAGCACAAGTTGTAGCTCTTCTCATTCACTTTAAAATGATTTTTGGGGTTTAGGATTTGGAAAAAAATTTGCATCTCTAGGTTAAAATTTAGGTGAATCGGGAGAAATTTGGCTCGGTGGATCAAAATGGCCCTCTATGGAATTGCAAAGAATTTTGACATAAATTGAAACGTGTCATTGAATTACTTCGAATTGAAAACTATAAGGATAAATTTGAAAAAAATTAAAAATACAATGATAAATTTTACAAAATTAAAACTATAGAGATCAAAGTAATAAAATCGGCATACTATAGGGATCAAAAATGACTTTTTATCCAATAAATATTAAGTGGGAAATGAATTTTTGTAAATTAAATTAAATTGACTTACGTACGAGTACAAGCAGTGGAGGAGAAAGAGAACACCAAGCAACGGAAAATCCAATGTTGGGGTCATGCATTCAATGACGACGGGAGCCAGAACTGTGTCGTTTTGTCCATGTCAGCAAATCGCTCGTGCTCTCTCACCGGCTATTCACGGTCAACTAACTCTCTCTCTTCCCTTATTTATTTATTTATTTATTCTCATTTTTCCTTTTTCCTTTTTTGGAGTAAAAAATGAAAAATGAGTTTTGGGTTGGCCCTTGGTTTGGTCCGTTGCTTGCTGCTCTCTTTCAGCTCTCCGACTATAAATAGGAGGAGTTAACCAAAATGCTCTTTTTTTCTCTTCTTCCTCTTCTTCTCTCTCCTGTTAAGCAAATTGCTATACAGTGGCGACGACAATATCATATTATTATTGTCTCATCTCCGACCAACTTCCGGCGAAATAGCCGGCGATCGGCAGATCAGACTGCCGAAGACTCTCCTCCGCCATTTACTCTCTCTCTCTCTCTCTCTCTCTCTCTCTGAGGTTCAAGCTCTTGAACCCTTCGACTCTCTCTCTCTCCTTAAATTTTTTTTTGGGTATGTTTGACTGAGAAGGTTCAGATCTGGTTTTTCTTGTACGGATTCGTCGATTTCCTCCATTGCTTTTTGTAAAAGCTTGCTGTTTTGAAATGGCTGCTCATTCTGGTTTATCTTGATCTACCATTGTTATGATTATTTATTAGTATTTAATTGTTTAATTATCATTATTTATACAAACAAAACATTACATTTGTTTAATTTTCCCTGCAGATGAATCTGTCAGAGACTCTGTTGTTGCTGGTTTCGCAATTTGTGACTCGTTGTTTGGTTCAAAAAGATTTTCTATTTTATTGCATATTTTTGTTTACAGATTTTTTTTTGTCTTAATATAATTTTTTCCGGTAAAAAGTCATCCTCCAAATCCATTCACTCAATTAGTAACCGTAGTAAATTAGTAATAATTAATTTCCCAATTAAAAGTTAACTCGCTGTAAAAGTCAATATTTATCCTAATAATCTTCATCCTCTTAATTACTGCAGCTGTAATTTTTCCTCTCTCTCTCTCTCTCTCTCTCTCTCTCTCTTATTTTTCCTACATTTTTCCATGTGAATTGTGTGCTCTTTCTTTTGGGGAAGTGAGTTGGTATTGTAGGGACCAACTTTTGTCTAATAATAAATTGTTTGGTAGGAGTGGAACAGAACGCACAAGTTCAGATCTGTTGGGAGGTGAAAGAAGAAGAAGAATAAGCGATTTGGTTTGATTTGGCTGAGCGATTGAAGAAGAAGGAAGAAGAAGAAATGGAAGGGGCCAAAGAGTTTGGACTAAGAAATGTGAGCTCGCATTGCTCCATTTCCGACATGGACGACTACGACCTCTCACGCCTTCTCGACAAGCCCAGGCTCAACATTGAGAGGCAGAGGTCCTTCGACGAGAGGTCACTGAGTGAGCTCTCCATTGGCCTCACCAGAGCCGGCTTGGACAACATTGATAGCACCTACTCCCCAGGTGGAAGGTCTGGTTTCGACACTCCCGCTTCCTCCGCTCGCAACTCGTTCGAGCCGCATCCAATGGTTGCCGAGGCATGGGAAGCTCTCCGCCGCTCTTTGGTCTTCTTTCGCAGCCAGCCGGTGGGCACCATTGCCGCATATGACCATGCCTCTGAGGAAGTTTTGAACTATGATCAGGTCAACTTTTCGCAATTTACCAAACCATTGCTTGCTTTTCAATTTCAATTTCACTTTGTGTGAGCTAATGCAAATACCCATTGCTTGGAATATTGATTCTGCAGTTTGGAGAAATTAACATTTATTGTTTACAAGAGAATTATCCAGTCCCATACATGATCTCTGTCTCTCTTTTTTCGTTTGAATTTGGCATAAGCTTGGATAGAACATAATTGCACCCGTGGTGGACGTCAAAATAATCTAAAATATGATTCTTGTTGTGTTTAGGTTTTCGTACGGGATTTTGTACCAAGTGCTCTGGCTTTTCTAATGAATGGTGAGCCTGAGATAGTTAAGAACTTCCTCTTGAAGACCCTGCAGCTTCAAGGGTGGGAAAAAAGAATAGATCGGTTCAAGCTCGGGGAAGGTGCAATGCCAGCAAGCTTCAAAGTTCTTCATGACCCTATCCGGAAATCAGATACTATCGTTGCAGATTTTGGCGAGAGTGCAATTGGGCGAGTTGCTCCTGTTGACTCTGGTTTCTGGTGGATTATACTGCTCCGTGCATATACAAAGTCAACGGGAGATTTGACTCTGGCAGAAACTGAAGATTGTCAAAAGGGAATGAGGCTTATATTGACTCTATGTCTATCAGAAGGTTTTGACACATTCCCGACTTTGCTTTGTGCCGATGGATGCTCCATGATTGATCGTAGAATGGTAAGTTTCACGCATCTCTTGTTTGATGAAGAAGTTTTATTGTTAACTGATATAAGAAGTAGCTTGAGAAGCCCTATAAGGCTTTCATAAGGTCATTAAACTTCAAATTTCTGGCCCTAATCATTGTACTATTTCGTAAAGTGTTTCCTACAAGGCTTTTGTAAGTCATCTGTTTAAATGTGGTTGGATTTCAAAGGAAAGTGCGTACTGTAGTGAAGTAATATGGGATACTTCGAATTTACATGTAATGGTTGACAAGTTGAGTTCTGTTGATAATATAGATATATGTTGGTCTGGTGGTAAACATTCAATGACTAATTTGTTGTGCCACACAGGAAAATCTCATCAATAGGCACGCATTATAACAGGCCGTCATCTTGTTGGTCCCTAGGATCAATATCTTTGTTGTAGTTATTTATTCTTGCCTTCTGTATTGAAGATAACACCGATTGCTGCATTCACATTGACTTAAGTTGCTCTTAACTTATCAGTGCTCAAACATACAATGAAGTTTATAATTAGTTAATCTTGTTCTATTGCTACTTATTAGCATATTTCATCATGTTCCTTAAGAAACTAAGACACACAAGGGCATTTGAGTAAAGGATGGGTAATGCCTTATCCACTGACATTCATGGACGTGTAACCTGATATTCTCAGAGTCGTGGCTTTTTGTTATGTTTTTCTTTCAGCCGTAAGCTTTTATTCTGATTATGTGCATTTTTTTGGATATTTGCAGAAAATGTTCTGCAATTTCCCAGCACCTATTCAAAACATCCTTCCTTAGTCCACGTATATGTGAAATGTGAACTCCATTCAACTTTTGAAATCTTCAATTACAGTTTACTTCCCAATCATTCAGATTTCTTAGAAAGACACCACTTCAACTAAGCAATGTTTCGTCTTTATCCATACATCCTTGCTAGCCACCTAAGGAAACAAACCTGGAAAGAATCCTTAAGAGCATCTCCATGCCACTGGCCATACCAAAACATTCTCGTTTCCCTTCCCCCTCCTTTAAAACTGAGAACTGAGAGAAACACTTAACCTGTTTTTACCATCTTTGCATAAATCCCATCCATAATAGCATCAAATAGGATAAGTAGTCCCAATAGATGAAGGTTGAGAAGCTCATATGGGAATTTTTATGGCAAGACCAAGGAGAGGGGAAATAAATGCAGTTGGTGAAGTGGGAGTTAGTTTCAAAATCTAAGGGTAAAGTAGGTTTAGTAGTTGGAAATTTGGTTAAGGGGAATGTGGAGCCATCTCTCACCAATATGTACAAGCCTAAGTGCTTAGTTCAGCTTTATGCAGAACTGAACTAAGAACTTACAAAATACGTGAATTCATTTGGATTAGTTAGGTTGCACAATCTGTAAAAACTTTCGAACACCTCTAACCATTTTGTTCCCTTTTACAAATGAAGGTTCATAAAATCCTTAAAACTGAGGTTCAGAGATACATCTCATTGGCATATTCAATTCTTTGGAAAGAAAAATATCTGCCTTGTATGAGTGATACTGCATGAGTACTTATTGCAACTCTGAACTTAAATTGATGGAGCTGGGAATTGGGGTTTATATCCTGTGAATCTGAGTATGTTGCTGGAGTTTGATAATTCTTGTTCCTTACTGGCACGCTTATCTAATCTGCACTTGTTTGCAATCTGGGATGCGGTTAGATGTATAAGCCTTCTTTTAGAAAATGTCAGAGCTTCTTGTATTGCTGTAGGCTTTTAGCAAATTCATAATGAAAATGCAATTTTGCTGTTTTCCTCCATAGATGATGATTATGTTGACAAAAATGAAAAAAATGATTTTAACCATTAACATTTCAGTGTTTATGTGAAACACTGTATTTATCTATTTATTTGATAGTTTTGATGTACTTTCACCGATGATAAATTACTGGAATACCTGCAGTTTCTTAACACTGATGAAAAAAAAACAAGCAGAGTTATAGAAAGTTGACTAATAAGGAAAAAGGAATAAGAGGAGAAATTGTTAGCGAGTAGTATTATTATGTTCCACTGTTGATGTGTTCTTGTATGTTAATTTTGTGGTATGTCGCTTTTTTTTAAGTCTTGTGTCTCTGATGACGTGACTTTTTTATATTATGGTTTAAAGATCATCTCTTATTTTACATGTTATTTATGAATAGTTCATTTTCTTTTCCAGGGAATATATGGTTATCCTATTGAAATACAAGCTCTTTTCTTTATGGCATTGAGATGTGCTTTGGCGTTGCTGAAACCTGATGCAGAAGGAAAAGAATTTATTGAGAGAATTGCAAAGCGTTTACATGCCTTAAGTTACCACATGCGAGGTTACTTCTGGCTTGATTTTCAACAACTAAATGACATATACCGTTACAAGACTGAAGAATACTCGCACACTGCGGTAAATAAGTTCAATGTCATTCCTGATTCCATCCCAGATTGGGTTTTTGATTTCATGCCATGCCGTGGTGGTTACTTTATTGGCAATGTCAGTCCTGCAAGGATGGATTTCCGATGGTTTGCTTTAGGTAACTGTGTTGCAATTCTCTCTTCTCTTGCAACCCCTGAGCAATCAGTGGCTATAATGGATCTTATTGAATCTCGCTGGGAAGAGTTGGTGGGGGAAATGCCATTAAAAATATGTTATCCAGCAATAGAAAGCCATGAGTGGCGAATCATAACTGGTTGTGATCCCAAGAATACCAGATGGAGTTACCATAATGGAGGGTCTTGGCCAGGTTTGTCCCTCTTCTCATGAAGTTTCTATGTTATTGCTTTATGTGCAAATCAAAATTCAACATGAAAAGTTGGGATGGTAAAATTATAACATTAGCAATCAGATTGCGGATTATAGGTTGGTTTCTTGGTTTTCTGTGGAATTTTGCACGCCCTCGCAGACAGCTTCAGAAATCACCAGGAACAAATTGATTGTTGCCTAAGATTCTGAGCTGAGCCATAATACAAATTAATTTGGGTTATGCTGTTCTGTCTTGCAGTCCTATGTTAATGCCATATAATTGAGGTCTTTGCTCATCATGTTCCCTTCACTACCATTACCCCCTGTCATTTCTCCCTTCCCTCCTATTTTAACATCTTTAAACTGATGCATTTCAAGTCTTTCTTGTACTTGACCAAAGAGTGTTTATCCTTGTTGGGTGCCTTCTGCATCTTATTTCATGGGTAAACCTCTTATTTTCATGAAGGAAATGCTATCGGGATGCTGCATTGTCATTCATTCATCTGAAGCACTATATCATTAGATATCTACTTAGATTTTTTTTCTTTCTAATGGTTTAATCTCTTATTTTTCCATTTACATTATATTAACCTCATGGGTTTATGAACTTTTTTATTAGATTCTTTTATTTCTTTCCTGTGTACTTTGTTTTGAACAATTGTATATGATGTTTCTCAACCACCTTTTTTTTTTTTGGTTATAAAACGTCCTTTTTCTCTTTATTACCTGTACAGTGCTTTTATGGATGTTAACGGCTGCTTGCATTAAGACGGGACGACCACAAATTGCAAGACGGGCGATTGAGCTGGCTGAGAGTCGTCTGCTAAAAGATGCTTGGCCAGAATATTACGATGGGAAACTAGGGAGATATATTGGCAAACAGGCAAGGAAGTACCAAACATGGTCGATAGCAGGATATCTGGTTGCAAAGATGATGCTAGAGGATCCGTCGCACTTGGGGATGATTTCTCTGGAAGAGGACAAGCAAATGAAGCCAGTGATTAAGAGATCATCGTCTTGGACTTGCTGAGACGCTAAAAAAGCTATAGAGAAAATAGCAGGTAAAAGAGAAGAAGAGGAAAAACAAAAGGCGAGGGATACTTGGTTATTTCATTGCTACACCATTCATTCTTTGGGGGTTTCTGTTCTTGTAGGTTTGATGGACAATATGGTTTTGTATACAATAGCATCTGCTGAGACTGCTTTTTGTTTTTCAATAAAAGATACATTTGGCCTTTTATGTTTCAAATACTGATGGTATTTTGCAACTGCTATGCTGCTAAAGAAGAATTAATAAGCTCTAGACAGGATGGGATGGTGAAGCTAGAGTTTGGGAAGTCTGGATTTTATTGAATACGGATGGACAATTTCAATCATTTCAGTTATTATTTTTCGTATCAATTGACTTAATTTGTGTGCAATTTTCTGTTTGTCTATTTTCCTTTTGGATATTTTCGACAATTAGATAAGGGCTTTCAAACTTACAATTTATGGAGCCAAAAATTTAGGTGTTTTTGCAACTTCGTTTCGAGAAAAGAAAAAAAGAAGGGTATATATGGAACTCAAATTATTTTTTATTCTGTATGTGTTAGTAAACTTACGGGAGTGTGCCAAATACGCTAACTAAAGAAATTCAAGAGTAGAAAAGTTTCTACTCTTGGAGTGAAAGTGAAAGTGAAGGTAGTTTCTCAGATGATGATGAAGATGAGATTGCTTTTACTGCTAAAGTGGACTTCATTAGTGAAATAACTTTTGGAAATGAATAATGTGAAAGTGAAAATAGAAAGACATCTTGTTTGATGAGTCCTTCAAGGATAAAGAGAGATGTAGGACTCTTGCTTAAGACCCATAAAGAGCGTTCTTCAAATTATATACAATTGGGATGGCATGGTTGTTCCACATAGACCTCTCCTTGAAGAATTCCATTTAGGAAGGCAATTTTGACATTCAATTGATGGAATTTGAACTTTCAATGACAAGCAAAAGCAAGAAAAAGTTTGACATATTCTAACCTTGCAACATGGGAAAAGGTTTCATCAAAGTCAATGTTTAATTGCGAATACCCATGAGCAACAACCCCAGCCTTGTTCCTGACACAGTTTCATTTTTCATCTCATCTATCATGTTTTTAAGCGTTTGGAAACTGATTTTGATTTTGTACGAGAGAGTTCATAGTGCTTTATTCCTTCATCATTGTTCCAATCTCTAACCGGGGACCCCAATTAATATTGGGGGTTCTAAATCAGAGATGATATATTTTTTTTTAGAGAATCTCAATGGAACAAGGAAATTCAGAGATAAGATTAGGTGTTAAGACTCAATACATATACCGAGGTTAATTCGTTGTTCTGTAAGCAGAGAATATTATTATGGAAATAGAGAAGATCAGTTCTTTATTCTTCCTTGATCCTCAATTCTCTCTGAGTTTTTCTCTGAACTTCATACATGATAAGATAGCAAACTACTGGTGATTTCAGAACTAAAAATATAATATATAAAAAGTGCGTCAAGATAAATTGTCATCATGAAAGAGCATTGACAACGTTAAAAGGATATTTCCAGGGGAAGAATAATGTCAACGGAGTTCCATTTTTATTAATCCTACACAGATTCCAACTGCATAACATAATAACAGAGACCACGGACAACATCACTCCAATTTGTTCTTCCTGTGACAATTACATATACGCCAACAGAAATTATATAAAGCACATTGTAACAGTCATTCAGTTGACAACCTCAATTCCAGTCAAAGGCCTCCCTTCATGGAGTTGAATGGCGACATCACCAACAACCTGTATTTGTTGAGTCGGCACAGAAGCATAAAGGTCAAAATCCAACCGACTAACAGGAGAGAGAGAGAGAGAGAGAGAGAGAGAGAGAGAGAGAGAGAGAGTACAACTCCTTGCAAAGTGTTTGATAGCCTAATTGTGCCACAAGCATTGGATTCGAAGAAAACCAGTGTCTTCTACGATTGCAAACTATATACAGAAAGTTCCTAGATATATTTATGTTCACTACTCCTACGCCCTAAAAAGCATGATTGATTGAACTTCAATAATTGGCAATAATAAGAACTGCAAACAAAAAGAGCAGCACTCTTGATCTTAATAGGGCCTGCATTTTGCCATCCCAGATGTCCAAGGTAAAAGCATTAATTTCTCACCTTCCAGGGCTCAAACGACGGCATCTTCATAAGCATTATGAAGTAAGTTTTAAAAGAATTGCCGAAGAAGCAAAAACAACTCCCACACCACGTGCGAAAGTGGGTTTGTTTATATCTCAAAAGCTAAGTACAGCTCTAGTGATTAGAGAGAGGGAGAGTAATGGCCTATTTGCTTCATCATATTAGCATTGAATCTGGTCACTGACTCCTAAAAGTTGCATTGCAGAAAGCAAAATTGTATGCCTTCAAGAGTGTAATTCAAACCAAATTCAAGGATATAGTCTATTTGACGAGAACCATGCTGGCGTACATACCTAATTTAGGCATAGTCGTAAAGTAATTGCTTGACTAAATTTATTTACTTTCTGATTTATTTCAAGTACAGTTTGATTATTTACTGTTATCTTACCTTGGACATGGATCTGTGAGAATAATCTGTAACTCCTGCCACATGAGGCGTGACGAGAACATTGCTGAACTTCAAAATTGGATCATCAGGATCAAATGGCTCCGTCCAAGCAACATCAATCCCTAAACCACCTAAGTGGCCAGACTCTAAGTAATACGAAACAGCCTCATAGTCCAGGAGACCCCCTCGGGCAATATTTACTAAAAGGGAACCCTGGAAAAAAAACAAAGAAACATGAGGATAAACACAAAGAAATCAAGAACAAGAGCAGAAGTTAATGGAAGGCACCTTTTCCAATCTTATGCATCCTGCTTAACAATTACAGTTTTCTTATGACCAATCCTTGTAAATCACTATACTTCTGTTTTTTTTAGACATGATTATACTTAAAATTCCAACAATTCTGCTAAGGCATACCATAGTTAATTTTATCACTAAAATCCTCTGCATCCACCTCTGTAAAGCAACTTTTCAAACCACTTGAAAGAAAATTTCATTTCACAACAACGAATTCTTGTAAAAAAAACAAGTTCAACTTCATTTTTTTGTATTTTTCTTTTTCTTTTGTAAGTAAAAAAACAAACGTATTGAAAACAAGCCAAGGGAATGCAAACAAGAATATAAGCTGAATAGCAGCGTCTAAAAGTGTAATGAAAAAACGAATACCCTAACAAAGAGTGAAAATCAGGCCCCTTTTGGACCACTCAAAAAGCAATCTCAACAATTGGGCCTTGAGCCCCAAGCCTAACATAGACTATTCAAGTTGATCCTTTTATCAGGTCTTTCTATTTCTCTCAGGCCTCAAACACCCATAATGCTTAAAGGAGCCACCTTCCAAGCTCAACTAATCTCTACATCTCAGATGTTCAAGAAATCAAGAGCAAGAGAACATGCAGTCCTTCCATTTCAACAATTTTGAGTATTCAATATTCTCAACCAGCCACCTTATGTGTGGTTGCAGGCTTGCAGCTACACCAATTCGAGCTCAAGATCTCTTGTTCTGGTACCAAGCGAAGGTTAGAGCATCCACCCAAACCAATTGGCAATGAGCGGAGAGACTCGGATCTTATATATTGTGAAGCAATACTTAGAATTCCCAATGTAGCACTTATATTCTCAACATATATTTGTATGGAAAACAATATAGGTGACATGAGTGCATGCATAGAGTCTGCTACCACTTGGTTTCACCACTAGTTGCAGAAGCTTAAGCTATTAGGATTTGGCCAACAATTACTCTATTTTCTAACACATTCTTACAAGAAGGCAATCACACCCTTAATTGGCTACAAAGGCTGCCTGAAATTCTACCAATCATTTGTCCATATTGGAAAAATAACATGATCCATGATATAGGCTACTAGGCATACCCGAACATAGACCAAGACCAATTAATTCAATAAGACTCATGGACCAGAGCTGCACACATCTACATGGCTCCTTTTATTTTTTTGGTCGGTCATCTACATGGCCCTTAAACTTATTCCATAAGTGCTGAATTGAATGTAAACTTCGTCTTTTAAATTGTTCAGGCCCTATCTCTTTCAGACTCTTGTTGGCTGCATCAGGTGCCAATAAAATCTAGTTCTATAAGTTCAGTGGGAGGACTGCTATGGCATCAGGAAGGAATCTATATGTTACAGATGTATGGGTTTGTATGCTCGTGTTTACACACCTACACATAATGCATTTTGCTAATATGATTTTGTCATTGCAAACAAAATTGTCTGAGAGTCAAATTACTGTGCATTAAAATCAAACCTTTCTCATCAAAGATATAAATGGCTTGTTTACGACGCCAACCTGAAAGACAAAATATACAAAAGTAGGAATCAGACAACTAAGCATCATTGAATTTTCTGTAGAGGAATTGAAACCAGGTTGATTTCTATGTCACTCAACACAGTACCAATTTATTTAATCTAATTTCATGAATTCAAAAATATTTTATGTTCAGGTACATCTTACATAAGTTAGATCAAGGCAAATTACCAATATCTGGCTCAAATAAAGGACATTAAGACTCAGCTATGTCTATTCTACTATAAAAAGATAAAAGAACAGAGAAAATATTTGGGGGAGAGAGACAGAGAAGAGAGGTTGAGGAAGAGAATAAATAAAAATAAAATATATACGAGGTTTAGAGAGGAGGAAACAGAATCAGATGGAGAAAAAGATTATCCTGTCCTCAAACTTTTTGGAGTGGAAACTTATTTAGTGACCAATATGAGGAACCCACAGTGGAAGGCAAAACAACTAAGGAAGACGTCAAGCCATTTAATGATCCTATCACTGAAACTTTCTAAACTATTAATTTCATCATTCTTAATCAATTTAACTATGTGTCTGAAAATAAAGCATCTTTGCTGACGGCTGTGCTTCTTCCACAACAAGAAGGGATATTGGTTGAAGCTCCAAGTTTGCGCATGCTCTTACTTTAACATTACAAAACTTGAGGTCAACTATTAGAGAATGTTAAAAAATACAAGGAAAAAAAAAGTTGCACCTCAGACATAAGCGAGCTTAGAAATTGGGTTTACTATATTAGGAAAATTAGGTTTTATTTATTAGACATAGATTCTACAGGTTGATTATTTATTTTGGAGACTTTAGCATATTGGTTGGTAACAAAGAATTGAGTTCACCCTCGCCTCTCCCTCCTTTATCTGTTTTTTTCTGTCTGTCTTCTCTTCCTCAACCTGTGTTCTATCATTTCAATGTTTTCCTCTGTTCTTATCGGTATTCTATTGTTTACTTTTTTCTATTCTGTCTATTTCTCTCTCAATCTCTCTCTGTCCCGCATAAATTAGTATCAGAGAATGTCCATATCAAACTGTCCAGCATTTGGAGTTCACATGACTGTAGTGAAGACTGACACTACTAATGTAGACTCCTTCCGAAAAAGAAAAGAAAAATTATTCAAGATTTTGTTATTAAAGCATTTTCATTTTTTGAGATATTTATGCATAGTGCTGAAGTAAGTGCAAGTGCAACACAAACAGTAATCATCAATTGCAGAAAGCATATGTATAAGAATGACTAAGGATCTTACAGTGTCACTGTTTAAACACAAGCAACAAACAACAATGTCCGCTTTGCTTGCAAACTTGTGGATATCTTCATGGCCGCCCTTCTCATCAACCAAATCATTGACGGGACCATTTTGAACTGAAACTTATGAACATATAACATGAACCGCAATGCATAGGGCCTTTTTATTTATTTATCAAAATTCATCATTCTATCTAATGCACGTCCTTGCATACCATTTGATAGGCAAGAAACTAGTGAATGTGTGGCCCAACTCCGTTTCGTGGCAATAATTTTCACACCAAATGGTCTCAAGCGCTTTGCCAGGTCAATTCCAATATTTCCAAATCCTAAAATGAAGACCTGCATGCATCAACAAGAAATCTAAATTCTAAAAACTGTCTTAAACATGATACAGCAGCAACATTTCGAAACCAGCACAACTAGTACATCAACTTCTTTGTTCTTTTTCTTTTTTTCTGTAACAATGGCAATGCTGACCATAAGATTTAAAGAAAATTCTCATATTTATAGCATGTCCTAATTCTTTCTTAATGAGGATATTATGTTTATAATTGCAATCAAGCAAGGAAAAATTATGGACATTTTTTGTCGACAGTCAATAAAGCAGGAGCACCAATATTATCAATCCATCTCACTAAAGACTGCCATTAGCTGGAACAATGGAATTTCCCAATTACTTGTTAGCATAAAAATAAAAAAATAAAAATTCTGACACTATTTTTCTTGTCTTTTGTGGATAGTTATTATTGATACAGGAGCATTTAAGAAAATTTTACCAAACAGCCCCATTAAGTCAAGATCAGACCCTTTTATCATCCTAGTCTAGAAGCGTGTCTTTTTATTTATCCCTGAGTTTCATATTTAGTGTACAGCGATCTTAAGTCAAGGGCTTGTGGCTGCAGGGGTTCACAATACCAAATTTTCCATCACCTTGAAATTGCTCACAGAAGACCTGAGTTAATAGAGGGGATGACAGTTAACAGTGAAGATCTTGAGAGTGTAATTGGGTATAGGATAGGATTATTTATTTTAATAAAGTTTTATACCGAAAGTAGTAAGTGGGGGCCTAGAATGTGTGGTTTTAATTTTGCATGCTTTCCTTCAGTGGAAGCTGTTTATACCATAGCTGACCCAGCAGATTATGACAACGACAAACCTACGCCTACCGAAGACCAAATAGGAGAACTTACCAAAGATGCCAGTGCTACGTTGGCAAGCCTTGATGACCGCCCCAAGCAAGCAGTCAGTCATACATTGCCTACCTAGCCTACCGATCGGCACACATTGCGCCACTATCTTCAAGGCACTCACGTTCAGCAGGCTCACACTTGCCATGCTGCCGAAGGACATTACACATGGTCAGCACCTGGCAACATGTGTTGTTGTTTCGGACTAATTCTAACCAAGGCATAGGACAAAAGTCCCACACCAACCAAGGCACAAGGAAACATTAATTTTGCATGTGTACCATTGCTCTGCTGAATTACCTACTTACGAATACTTGTGCTAACTTAAGCATAAGATGTTCGGTAGGTACCACACCGGTGCCAAGGTCTCGCCTATCTTCCCTTCTATCTTGCAGACAAAATTTCAGCCTAGCCAAAGGATCCCAATGACTGAGGGCAAGGCGACTTGAAGTTGGACCATTTTTTGGCATCAAAAGAAGCAATCTCATTAGAATGTCCATTTAGCAATTAAGGTACTGCAGGACATTAGTCATAAAGCTCCAAGGCCTGATGGTAGTCACTTAGATGAAACCGTCCATGAAATTTTTTAATCTGGTTCTTTTTCCGGAAATTCTTAATGCTTCTTTGATTGCTCTCATATCAAAGAAGTCAGGTGGTTCTGACAGTACATATTATACTCATCAGTTCAGGTACCTTGTATTTTTCACTATTTCCTCTAGGAAACCAACGTTTGTCGTTATACAAAGTACAACGTCAACAAACTTCAAATCCATTCAAGTTTTATGTTTATTGAGTTATTTAGACTTTTTGATTGATACAGCTCACACTTCAACTTTCATGCAATGTCAATGCCATTAAACTTAACCTCTCCGGATCTTTTAATCTGCAAAATGTTTACACTTTCACAAAGAAGAGCACACTTGGAAGTAGAACAACAAGAGTAAAAATAAAAACACAAGAAACTGTAATACTGCACTACGGGAATATTTTGTCAAGAAGCCAAAAAACAAAAAAAACAGGAGGCAATGAGGAAGGGAGGGAGAGAGAGTCACTGTTTTTCCAAGTAGTGTGTCACCAATTGGGTCTCCAAGCTTTCTCTGCTTTATAGCAATTTGCATCTCATTCTACAGTTGCAAAAAAAAATTACAGACAAATCAGCACACAAAAATATCACAACTAAATTCAAGAGAATTACTCAATTATCATTTTGATAGGGAACATAAACTTTTATTGAATAAGTAAAAGATAAATTACAGGAAACGCCAGAAATATTGCAACATATACATGACTAGCAGGCTAGCATCTCATAAATCACAACCAATTAAGATAAATGAACAGAAGGGTATCCCTAGTATGACAGGGTGAATTTCAATAAATTCTCTCTATTCAAGTTCTACCCAAATATTAAATTTCAAGAAATAGTATGAGAAGATGTAAGGAAGCAAGACAACACATCAATGCATTATGATTCAGAGATAACCAATATAAATAGGGGAACAACGATTGGAAGGATAAATCACCATACCAAACATCTTTCCAAAACTGAATTTTAGCATCATTTCCTATCAGAAAATTAGCTGATACAAAGGAGAATAGCTAGGGCATTACCACTATTGCTTCCCAAATATTTAAACAAGGGTTACTCCAAACAATCACAAATCACAACCCAAACCCTTACCTAAGCACAACAGTTTCCTTTCTCAATGTTCATACCCACCATTAACTTTTGACGTTTTCAAATCTGAGACTAACCCCAAATATGGAATATTTATAACCAAATTAATATATATATTGTTGTCCTTTCCCAAAGTAAAAAGGACTGTGTCATCTACAAACTGTAAATGAGATACTTGTGTTCACTCCCTTCCCACAACTAAACCCTTAATCAAGGTAAAATTTCTAACACTCACGAACAAACTACTTCAGAGATCACCTTGTATAAGACCCATAGCAGTTTAAAGTCATCCCTACCACTAATAGTAAATGAAACAAAAGTTGAACTCAAGCATCCACACCTGTACTTCCTCCATTACTATCAACACCTTTCCTTTCGAACAGACAATTTAGAGAGCCGCAATCACCATTACCACTTTTGTAAAATCAATTTTAATCACTACTCTGTTTTAAACTTAATATTATTGAACCACTTCACATAAAGAAAATGTCTAAATAAGTCTACCCCTTCTTGAATGCCAAAGCCAAACACTGATTTGGGGTGTAGCTAGTTACACTATACACACAGAAAAGTGAAGGAGTTAGGAAGCCTAGTGACATATCCCTCTAAGTACTAAATCATAAAATTTGGAGTTGGATTATTGTTTGTGATAGAGTGACTTGTGACATTATCCAAACGAGGAGGCCTAACTGAAGTCTAATCAGTGTTGGGCGTAATATCGTCTTAAGGCTGCCATAGTGTCAAACACTAGCCTCAATAAAGTAAAGTTTTTCTACAACTTTTCTGCCTCTTTTACTTGGGTATTTGTTGTATGTTGTAGAATTTTGGTCCTTCAATTACACGTTTATTTGATTTTTGTATTTTACAAATTAATGTAGCAATATTACATCTATTTTTCTAACATTTAGTACTGGTGGGCTAAGGTTTTTCCTGTGTTTCAGTGGACAGATTGGCCACTATAAGCTGTCCACTATAGTTATACTTTTTTCTTTTAATCTATATAGCATATTAGTAAGAAGTTGGTTTTTCATAAAGAGCGAGGACATTAACCAAAGAAAGAAGAAAAAAAAATCAGTGTGAGGCTACTTGGGTGATCATAAATTGAAGGGAGTAGGACACGAACAAAAGCATTCAACACTACAATACCTAGGAGGCAAAAAAATTTGGCATATCATAAAGGCTTTAAAAATGAAGATAAAAAACAAATTTTGATTGTAAAAACTTAACATACTTGCTTTCGTAAAAGGCCCAGCATCAGATAAATGGCCATTTCTGCACATGAGGCTGCATTTCCAGTTACATGACTTGGAATCCTAGCAACTTTGATTCCAAACTTAGTTGCAGAATCAATGTCAACCCCTTCAGTAAATCAAACACAAATTGTAAGCAAATAAACACATAAGATATCCCAAACCCTCTATTTATAACAATTTGATAGACATGAAGAAGGACCTTCCAGGCCAACACCATACTGCATTATAAGCTTCATCTTTTCTGCACGAGAGAGAAGATTTGAATCGAACTTCATGGTTTTCACTATACAGATATTATAATTTTGGATAACACCAGGCACGTCATCAAGGGGAACATCATCTACCTATGATAATCAAACTTGAAATACTCAATATGACATGAATAGGAAGGAGCGCTGGAAATACATAATGGAACATGCATAGGAAGAAGCACTGGATAGAGATAGGTAGATTAAAAATGTGATGCAGAAGCAAAAGCATGGTTAGAAAATAAAAAGACTATTTGGAAACCAGAAAACATGTTAGTCGAAGTTTGTCAGTGATGCTTTTTTGGTCGAAAGAAAAATATCAATGGTAATCAAAAGAGTTGGTCCATTTACGTCATTTTCAAATGTCATTCAAGAGCTAATCAATTTTCAAATGACAATAAAGTGTAAGTCAAAGAATCAATCAAAGAGTTTAAACTGTGCATCAGGTATTGAAAGTCTTCTAACTTTTAGAGTGTTTTAGTGTACAAGGATGGGTACCGATCCCAAATAGAAAGAAAATGCAGAAAATCAAGGAACCTGGACAAAGGGGAACTCCTTCAAATATTCTCTTGTGTAGGTATGAGAAGCAGGAAAATGTGGCCCACAAAACAGAACACGGGTAATTTTCTTCTCATCCTTGTCAATCATTCTCTCAACCTTCCCCAAGATATCTGCACTGCAGGACATTAGATTAAACAAAAATGTCAATATGAGAATATGTTGAACTGAAGCAAAATATAATCCGAGAGAGATATAATGAAATCTAAATTTTGGATTAATGATTTGATAGGTGATTTGAAAGAGAACAAAGCAAACAAAGCGCAACACAGAAAGTCAAGCATCAAATGAGAACCAAAATTTAACCAAAACAATCAAAATACCACCTTTCCTATAAGGTCTTTATCTTCTGAAGGAGGTTAAAAGTTTTTTAAAAAAATCCCAGGAATACAAAGTTGCAATCATGCAAGGATAGCTCAGTTGCAACCAACAAGACACAGAACGATATTGTACTCAATTTTCAAACAGAAAAAAATGGGAGATAAAGAACAATGAAGACATAAACTCTATCTCAGTCAGTCTACTATATATGCATAATGCACCCACCACTGATACATCAAAAATTGATTGCAGAAATGTTGCAGAAGAAGGAGAAGAAGAAGGCAAAGCTATGTTAGGAAGAAGAAGAAGAAGTTACCGATGATATGTGCTGCCGTGTGTGGTCCTGCCCTAAGGGCAGGTAGGCAGCCACCTACTCTTTTTTGCTAAACCAAAAATTACCCAATAACAAATACAATCAAATTTCTCCTGCCTACTCAAACCCAAGCCAGTCAAATTTTTCTCTTTAACAAAAACAGTAGACCAACCCACTCAAAACTTTATCCTTTAACAAAAACAATATAAAGCAATATAAGCTTGTTTATTTCATTGCTACACCATTCATTCTTTGGGGGTTTCTGTTCTTGTAGGTTTGATGGACAATGTGGTTTTGTGTACAATAGCATCTGCTGAGACTGCTTTTTGTTTTTCAATAAAAGATACATTCGGCCTTTTCTGTTTCAAATACTGATGGTATTTTGCAACTGCTATGCCGCTAAAGAAGAATTAATAAGCTCTAGACAGGATGGGATGGTGAAGCTAGAGTTTGGGAAGTCTGGATTTTATTGAATATGGATGGACAATTTCAATCATTTCAGTTATTATTTTTCATATCAATTGACTTTTAATTTGTGTGCAATTTTCTGTGTCTATTTATCTTTTTGGATATTTTCGACAATCAGATAAGGGCTTTCAAACTTAGAATTTAAGGAGCCAAAATTTTTTCTCAGATGATGATGAAGATGAGATTGCTTTTACTGCTAAAGTGGACTTCATTAGTGAAATAACTTTTGGAAAGGAATAATGTGAAAGTGAAAATGAGAAAGACATCTTGTTTGATGAATCCTTCAAGGATAAAGAGAGATGTAGGATTCTTGCTTAAGACCCATAAAGAGCGTTCTTCAACTTATACACAATTGGGATGACATGGTTGTTCCACATAGACCGGTACCTGTCCTTGAAGAATTCCATTTAGGAAGGCAATTTTGACATTCATTTGATGGAATTTGAATAACAAGCAAAAGCAAGAAAAAGTTTTAACATTTTCTAACCTTGCAACACGGGCAAAGGTTTCATTAAAGTCAATGTTTAATTGCAAATACCCATGAGCAACAACCCTATCCTTGTTCCTGAGAGTGTTTCATTTTTCATCTATCTTGTTTTTAAGCGTTTGGAAACTGATTTTGATTTTGTACGAGAGTTCATAGTGCTGTATTCCTTCATCATTGTCGAGATCTCAAACCGGGAACCCCAGTTGATATAGTGGGGTTAGCTTGGTTAGAGTTAGCTTAGCCTCTAAGCTTGTATTTCTAAATCAGAGATGCAAATTTTCAATTTTTTTTTTGAGAACCTCGACAGGACGAGGAAATCTCATAGATGAGATTAGGTGTTAAGTACCCAATACACACACCGAGGTTACTTCGTTGTTTTGTAAGCAGAGAATATTATGTTGGAAATAGAGAAGATAACAGTTCTTTATTCTTCCTTGATCCTCAATCCTCTCTGAGATTTTCTTTGAACTTCATACACGATAAGATAGCGAACTACTGGTGATTCTAGAACTAAACATATAATATATAAAAAGTGCGTCAAGATAAATTGTCATCATGAAAGAGCATTGACAACGTTTGAGGGATGTTTCCAGGGAAAGAACAATGTCAACGGAGTTCCATTTTTATTCATCCTACACAGATTCCAACTGCATAACATAATAACGGAGACCACGGGACAACATCACTCCAATTTGTTCTTCCTATGACAACTATATATATGCCAACATAAATTATATAACTCACACTGTAACAATCATTCAGTTGACAAACTCAATTCCAGTCAAAGGCCTCCCTTCATGGAGTTGAATGGCGACATCACCAACGACCTGTATTTGTTGAGTCGGCAAAGAAGCATAAAGGTCAAAATCCAACCGACTACAGGAAGAGAGAGAGAGAGAGAGAGAGAGAGAGAGAGAGAGAGAGAGAGAGAAACTCCTTGCAAATTGTTTGATAGCATAATTGTGCCATAAGAATTGGATTCGAAGAAAACCAGAATCTTCGACAATTGCAAACTATATACAGAAAGTTCCTAGATATATTTATCTTCACTACTCCTACACCCTAAGAAGCATGATTGATTGAACTTAAAAAATTGGCAATAATAAGAACAACTGCAAACAAAAATAGTAGCCCTCCTGATCTTAATAGGGCCTGCATTTTGCCATCTCAGATGTCCGAGGTAAAAGCATTAATTTCTCACCTTCCAGGGCTCAAATGATGGCATCTTCATAAGTATTCTCAAGTTTTAAAAGAATTACCAAAGATGAAAAACAACTCTGACACCATGTGCGAAAGTGGGTTTGTTTATATCTCAAAAGCTAAGTACAGCTCTAGTGATTAGAGAGAGGGAGAGTAATGGCCTATTTGCTTCTTCATATTAGCATTGAATCTGGTCACAGACTCCTAAAAGTTGCACAAAGCAAAATTGTATGCCTTCAAGAGTGTAATCCAAACCCCAAATTCAACTATCTAGTCTATTTGACGAGAATCATGCTGGCGTACATACCTAATTTAGGCATAGTCGTAAAGTAATTGTTTGACTAGTTTTATTTACTTTCTGATTTATTTCAAGTACAGTTTGATTATTTACTGTTATCTTACCTTGGACATGGATCTGTAAGAATATTCTGTAACTCCTGCCACATGAGGTGTGATGAGAACATTGCAGAACTTCAAAATTGGATCATCAGGATCAAAAGGCTCCGTCCAAGCAACATCAATCCCTAAACCACCTAAGTGGCCAGACTCTAAGTAATACAAAACAGCTTCATAGTCCAGGAGACCCCCTCGGGCAATATTTACTAAAAGGGAACCCTGGAAAAAAAAATTATAAAAATAAAGAAACACGAGGATAAACACCAAGAAATCAAGGGCAAGAGCAGAAGTTAATGGAAAGCACCTTTTCCAATCTTATACATCCTGCTTAACATTTACAGTTTTCTTATGACCAATCCTTGTAAATCACTGTACCTTTTTTTTTAGACATGATCATACTTCAAATTCCAACATTTCCGCCAAGGCATACCCTAGTTAATTTTATCAATAAAATCCTTTGCATCCACCTCTGTGAAGCAACTTTTCAAACCACTTGAAAGAAAATTTCATTTCACAACAATGAATTCTTATAAAAAAACAAGTTCAACTTCATCTTTTTGTATTTTTCTTTTTCTTTTGTAAGTAAAAAAACAAATGTATTGAAAACAAGCCAAGGGAATGCAAACAAGAATATAAGCTGGATAGCAGCGTCTAAAGGTGTAATGAAAAAACAAATACCCTAACAAAGAGTGAAAATCAAGCTCCTTTTGGACCACTCAAAAAGCAATCTCAACAATTGGGCCTTGAGCCCCAAGCCTAACATAGACCATTCAAGTTGATCCTTTCATCAGGTCGTCTTTCTATTTCTCACAAGCCTCAAACACCCATAATGCTTAAAGGAGCCACCTTCCAAGCTCAACTAATCTCTACATCTCAGATGTTCAAGAAATCAAGAGCAAGAGAACATGCAGTCCTTCCATTTCAACAATTTTGAGTATTCAATATTCTCAACAAGCCACCTTATGTGTGGTTGCAGGCTTGCAGCTACACCAATTCGAGCTCAAGATCTCTTGTTCTGGTACCATGCGAAGGTTAAAGCATCCACCCAAACCAATTGTCAATGAGTGGAGAGACTTAGATCTTATGTATTGTGAAGCAATAATTAGAATTCCCGATGTAGGACTTATATTCTCAACATATATTTGTATGGATAACACAATATAGGTGACATGAGTGCATGCTGCTTCCACTTGGTTTCACCAATAGTTGCAAAAGCTTAAGCTATTAGGATTTGGTCAGCAATTACTCTATTTTCTAACACATTCTTACATGAAGGCAATCACACCCTTCCAAAGGCTGCCAGAAATTCTACCAATCATTTGTCCATATTGAAACATGATCCTTGATGTAGGCTACTAGGCATACCCGAACATAGACCACGACCAATTAATTCATTAAGACCAGACTCTGGTTAGCTGCATCAGGTGCCAATAAAATCTAGTTCTATATAAGTTCAGTGGGAGGCCTGCTATGGCATCAGGAAGGAATCTATATACTACAGATGCATTGGTTTGTATGCTCGTGTTTACACACCTAAATGCATTTCGCTAATATGATTTTGTCATTGCAAAAAAAATTGTCTCTCAGTCAAATTACTGTGCATTAAAATCAAACCTTTCTCATCGAAGATATAAATGGCTTGTTTACAACGCCAACCTGACAGACAAAATATACAAAAGTAGGAATCAGACAAATAAGTATCATTGAATTTTCTGTAGAGGAATTGAATTCAGGTTGATTTCTATGTCAGACAACACAGTACCAATTTATTTAATCTAATTTGACGAATTCTTGATATCTAACTGAGAACAAATCAATAATATTTTATGTTAAGATACATCATACATAAGTTAGATCGAGGCAAATTACCAATATCTGGCTCAAATAAAGGACATTAAGACTCGGCTATGTCTATTCTACTATAAAAAGATAAAAGAACAGCGA